AGAACCTCACCCCATTGACCATCGGGTGGTGCTGCTGTGGAGCAGGTGAGCTATACCAAATGCTTGGGGGTGGACATCACTGAACAGCGCCTCCACTTCGTCCGCAAACTGAAGAGAGCAGGAGCCCCCCCACATCGTGCTCTCCTTCTACCATCAAGAGCATCCTCAGCAGTTGCATCACCTTGTGGTTCAGAAGCTGCACAGCATCCAACCGCAAGACACTGCAGCGCTTCGTAAACAATGCTGAGAGCCTCACTCCCATCACTCCTGGACATTTATAACACCCGCCTCACCTGCAGAGCACTCAGCATTGTGGCGTGTGGCGCAGTGGATAGAGCTTTGGTGTTCGGATCAAGGGAGCACAGGTTCAAACCCCACTGCAGTCAGCATGTCGTTGTGTCCCTGAGACACTTCACCCCAAATTGCTCCTGTGGGGATTGCCCACAGTATTGAGTATGTAAGTCGCTTTGGATAAAAGCGTCTAACAAGTGACATGTCATGTGATGAAACGTGGGTGACCCCTTCCATCCCTCCACCTGCCTCTTCACCCTCCTGCCTTCAGGGAGGAGGTTCCGCAGCCTGAGGTCGAGCACAACCAGACTGAAAAACAGCTTCGTCCACCAGGCTGTCAGGAGGCTGAACTCTCTCCCCCCTCCCTCCCCTCCCTCCCCTCCCTCCCTTCTCTCCCCCCTCTCTCCCCCTCCTCCCATCTCTCCCCTGCCCCCACTTGACTATAACTCCCCCACACACTTCAATCCAACGCTTTTTTTTATGCTGCTATGGACAATAAATACACATGGACAATCTTGCACCAAAGATATTGATATTGAAGTTACTGTTATTTTGTATATATTGAGTGTTGTGTTTTTATATCTTAATGTGTGCCTAATATATGTAAATGTGTCTGTTGATTGTGTATATAGGATATACATATTTTATACATATTTGTATACTGTATAATTTTACATTCGGGATTGTTGGAAACGTCATTTCGATCTCTCTGTCTGTAAACACAAACTGAGTAAGATTGACATTAAAGTTGACTTTGACAGTCGCAGGAAGTAGAGAGGGAAAACACATCTTTAATTTACAGGAAATTAAGAATAAAGTAGATAAACAGAATCTTTTGAGCACAGCTTGTTTTCCTTGTCTTTGTGACTTACAGAATAATGGAGTGGCCTTCAACACTGAGCCCCCCCCTGGAACACAGACAGGTGGGTCAGAGGGATGATCAAACACACAGAGTCCAGCTTTCTTGGCATTGCTGGTTCAAAAACATAAAACCCCAATCACAGATGATGGTTATCACCACAACCAACTTCCAGTGTTAACTTCTTCAGGCTTTGTGCATGTTGCCATAAAAGAAGCCATTTTGCACGTTATTTGAATAATACCTAAAATGGGCTGATGTTTGCTTCTTTGACAGAGATGGATGTGAACTGCAACTTGACTGTTTTCTGTTGCTATTCCCCCCCTCTGCTCTTTGTTCCTCTTTCTTTGTTTGTGACCCTCCTCCTGTCTCAGGTCTGTGTGGAGTGGTAGAGCAGAAGGATGAGGGGGGGCAGCAGCCAGACTCAGACTGTGCAGCTCAGACTCAGCCTGGACATGCTGGACTCTGCGAGTATGACTTCTTTATTCACAATTTCTTCGTCTCATTCCAACCTGAGCAACATGTTTTATGTGCTGGGTGGTCATCCTTCAGTCAGACCTTTAATCTCTCATGGTTGGATGCTGTGGTACCGTCTGCCAGACGGCAGCAGACAGAACAGTTTGTTGCTAGTATTGGTGCTGGGGGTCTTTTGTACTCCAGAAAAAAGAGGCAGGCTGTAAAAAAGAAAACGGGTGACATCCGAACATGTTATTCTCAGACGAGCAGAAAGCTGCATGCTGTGTCACTAACATGTCTTGGTCTGTCTCCAGGAAGCACTACAGGGAGTACCTGGTGAGTCTGATCAACAGCCACTCCATAGACCCCGCCCCCCTCTACAGCTCCAACGAGCTGCTGCTGGCCTGCAGGAGGTACAAGGTGGAGGACCCCCGCAGGGAGGGGGAGGACAGCTTCACCTACTTCAGCCGAATGCTGCAGGTCAGCGCAATATGTGTGTGTGTGTGTGTGTGTTTGATCAATATTTGTATTTCAATATTTGTATTTTTTATATTAATAAGATGATACACACGAAATATTGCCAATTACATTTGTCAAAAATCTAGTCAGAATGTCTTTACACTTGATCTTCTATTAACCATTTGTGTGATAGTGTGAGGCATACGGCAGACAAGGCTACTTGTGTGTGTTTAATTAATAAATAACACTTTGGTTGCTTGGTTTAGCCATGGCTTTAGCATCATGGCTCTTGTCAGTCAGTTCCCCACCTAGTGCCGCACTGGAGTACTGTATCTCTAGCGCCACCATGAGGTCATGTTGCATTTGAGTGAAATGTCTGTTGGGAGGATAGGGATTTCATTATTGGCCAGACCTGTCACCATTAGGCAGTGGCTCTCAAAGTGGGGGGCGGGCCCCCCCTGGGGGGCGTAGAGGCATGCGAGAGACCAGGAGGAAAAATGGTTATAAAAAAAATCATAAATTGAAAAATTATTGATTCGAAAATAATATGATGCAGTACAGTACTATTACGTCTGGGTCTCTGTGTTTCATTAAAGCTCGGCTCTGTGTGTGTGTGTGTGTGTGGAATGAGCCATTTTGTGTGCGCGAGCGAGAGAGAGCGCACCGGTACCGGAGATAGTTGTTGTTAGCTTCTGGTGCTAGCGAGCTACGATAACGGATATAAGGAGTTTTTTCAACAACAAAGTGGAGGAGAGTCCTCTCCTGTCAGCCTGAGAGACTCAGTGAGCTAAAGGACTCTGTGTTATCTCAGTGGGTCTCAAATGTTTTGGTCACCATTAATGTAAACAATTATTTCCGAGGCACACGTTTATATGATCATTATAGTTATACAAAAAATAAGAGAATACATGAAAAACAGGTATGAAATACTATATGACAGTAAAACAAGAATAACGTTTAAAAGGGTGATTTGTAAAATATCCATAAAGAAAAAGTAAATCTGTTTACAGTTCTGTTTCAAATGGGTGTTGAGAGAGGTATCCACAGATCTCTTCATGTTGCTCTCAACGTGCACCAGATTGATGCTTTTAACTTCAATATTTAAAAATAAATGTTCCCGGGGGAGCTTGCCCCCGGACCCCCCTATGTGAGGTCCACACACCACCTATAAAAATAGCACTTTACCCCTGCTTACACCTATATGCCGTGAGCTGATTATCGAGCCTTCATTGTAACAGTTGCTGTAGAAAATTCCACTGTAGCGCCCGGTACATTGATGGGAAACCCTAAATGTTTGAGCACCCTCTATGAAACGTCAAGCTACCCCACAAATAGTCAGGCTCAGTGGCGGTGCCAGAGACTTCTTTTGTGTTGGGGGGGTCCGACTTTTATTTTTTCTTTAATGGGGGGGCCTGACAGAAAAAGTTTGAGAATCACTGCCATTAGGTAACAGTGGTGAGTTTATTTATAAAGCACTATTCAACAACAAGTCTAAGTGCATTTAAATGTATTTAAAAAAGAGCCCTTAGAAGGTAAAGATAATGCAAATAAAACAGAATAAAGTAGAATAATAAAAGTCACAGTGCAGTGTAGGACATGAATAGTTATTTGATTTAAAACGCAGCAGCAAACAGAAAAGTCTTCAGCATTGATAAAGAAAATATATAGTTTATATGGTGAAACTCTAACAGAGGTTTTAAAGACATACAGAGTGAGCCCCCCCCCCCCTCTTAGACACAACTAATAGATGTCTTTTACTGAATTACTTTGATTCTGAGAAATGTGTAAACATCATTAGAAATTAATGATTCAGAAATGTTCAGCAGTTCATCATGGTAATAGCTTGTGTTTGTAACATATTATTCGGACCAGATGAAACAAAACCATCCTTATCTATTCCACAAATGTATTTTTATTCTGTACGTCACACTATTTATTTGTATTCATGTGACACATCCTTTGTGGTCTCTCTGCAGAAACTGATGGATGAAGAACCGCTGGGCGACAAGGTGCCACGCAAGAAATAATGAGTCACTTCCTGTTTCCTGCAGTGATTTGTCCACATTTCAACCTAAAACCCAGCTACAGGAGACAACGTGGTTAAAGTTTCCTTGTTGTTTGGATTGTAAAAAACTGATGTATACAAACATTTACTGTTTGTAATGGATTCTTTATTTTATACGCAGCATTTTTGTCCTTGTCATGATCCTGTAGATGTGGCTCGTGATCTGATTGATCAGTATTCCAATCGGTTCCTCTGAACTGAATCTTCATTGGAGCTTTTAGCTGTGTATCATTGTGATCTCTCTGTAAGAACTTAACAAGCTTCACAATAGCAGAAAACCTGTAAGCCAAAAATAGCTAACGCACTAATCTCACTCCATGATACAGGCCCCAAGGTCTCAAATTACTTTGTCACACCATGAAATCGTTTACAGCACATTTTTCGGTATTATTCAATACTTCTGTTGTGCATGTTAAAACTTGACATTTCAATATTATACGGTAACAATCTTAAAAGATATTAGTAGTATCTATGAAATACTGAATGGATGTAAACTCTTGTTGAACAGGTTTGCTGATGTAAAAACTACAGATTTTAACTACTGCTTTGTTGAATTATTTAAGATTTTTTTGTGTTCAAAATGAGAGTCTGCCAAGTGTAAATCACACAGAGTGCATGTGGTGGCCTGTACTGTGCCCAAAATAAATAGTTATAATAGAGCCTTCAAACTGTCACATGTGTTTGACTTTGGCAGTGAAATTGTCTTTAGCCAGATGCATTTAATATGTTTCTAAAGGATAGGATTAACGTTGGTGACATGTATTTAAGTACATTTACTCAATGACTGTACTCCTCACTAGATATGTCTGTGGTTCAAAGATTAAAAACAAATGACCTTTCTGAGCTTCAGACAGTAGGAGGATTCAGTTATAATCTTGAAGATGTCTTTCTTTATTCATTCTTTCTTTCATCCAACACATTATTATAACTACAATTGTATTATTTGCTGAAGCAGAAGTGATCAGGGTGACAATAAAAACATTAAGGGTGGGGAGAGAAGCACAGCAAACAGAATTAAACAAGAAAATGAAATGTGCTTCTGTTATGGATTCTGAAGGTGGACATAGTGTCACGGTGACTGGCTTTATTTGAGCAGCTTTGCGGTTGCCATGGAGGTCATGGACGTCATGGTGTTGGTGATGGTTGGCACGGCGATGTCTTTGAAGATGGGCTGTGTGACAGCAGAGTAAGTTACTTTGTTCTCGCTCAGAGTCCCGATGATCATCTGCCGCATTTCCCTGCTGGCGTCGCCCCGCACCGCCAGCAACGCCTGGATGTGCTCCTCCCTACGGACAGCCGGAGGGACAATATTAGAGTCAGTGTTAGAGCACTTAGCTATCAACCTCATATTATTCATGTATAAAACTCACCCAAGACACTTTTAAAGTAACATGTGTACTGTGTCTAAATTTGGATACTATCCCTAGTTCACTGCAGGTTGTGCCCTGTTAACCTCTGTAGTTACTCTGAACCCACACTGCGCCCACACCTGAAGTGATGACTGCCGCTGTATGCTTGGCAGCTAGCTAGCAACGTCTTTGTTTGTGGTAGCAAATCATTACAAGCGGCTAAAAGCTAAATAAACCCAATACAATAACAAGTGGCTTTCTTTTGACACCAGTATAGTGGTGTAATTATTAAATTGGAAACAAACAAATATTTGGCTCCACCACAAATGCGACTGGTTGTGTAACTTCTGCTAAGTAGCCAAGATGGTAGTGGATGAGTGTGAGTAGTGTGCAGTGTTCCATAGTAAAACATTTTGTAATGGAAACTGTTAGAAATTAAAATCAATGTTTTGATAGCATAATGTACCCTAAACATACCGTCAGTTTAAATGCTGTTTTATACTGAAAAACCAGAAGTTCTTGTGCACAACCAGTTAAGCTTTTATTCTGAAAATCCTTCCTGACGACATCCGGGACTAACGCCCATTAGTATCATTAAAGTGGCTATTGACGCCGTTAACATGTATTACATATAAAGTTATGAAAGAGATAAGGAGGAGAAAAGGCATGTGGAAGTAAGCAATGAATGTAAAATGTCGAAATCCTCTGTTTAACGCGATATCGGACACAGACGAACGAGAGGGGGAAGTCCCTTACGTCACTACAGCTCACAGAGAGGAGGAGCGAACAGCGAGCAAGCGGGAAGGACGAATGCTTGTTAGGTCTCTTCTGCACGGCCAGCAACTGGAGAGGAAGCTGCAGACTTTCTCTCCTGTCGGACCATATCCTGTTTGTGACTTTACCGCGCCTTTTTTATTAATTAAAGTACCAATTTGAAAACATCTCAGAGACTCCATTTAGTCTCCTTTTTAAGCTTCTCTTTCCTGGACGCTGAGAATAAGAACACAGTTAACAAAACTTCTGGAGCATGGAGTCTAAACACAATGATACACGGAAGAGCTGGAGCTTGATGGCACACACTGGCCGTAACTTCTGATAACTTCTTCAGAGAGTTGAAAATATATGTGCTGCAGCCACGAGGCGACACAACTCCTGCCTGACCAATTCTGAAGTTCTCTCCCCCAGTCCCATGTATTTAGCTGGTTCTGAGAGAATAATCAACATTCTGCATAACAAGATAAAACAGAGAAGCACTATACAGGGTTCTTACACCTTTTCCAAAGTCAAATTCAAGCACTTTTCAAGGTGCATTTTCCAGCTTTTCAAGCAGCTTACAGCTGTTGTAAATTACATATTTATATACACATACTCAAATGGTTATTTCCCTACCTCTAATTAAATCAGATGTTCTTTATGCTATTAACAACCAAATGTGTGTTTCGTGATAGCATTCTACACGAGGATGACAAATTAAAGAAAAGAAAACAGTTTAATATTTCAAAATGAGTGATCTGTACGTAGACTAGGCCTCCCATATAACCTGTCTGAGCCAATATAAAACAATCAGCCAAATAACTTTAATACATTATTGATTACTATTTTTGAGGTACTTTTAGGTTGGCAGTAAACATAAGTCAGAGGTAAATGGTGTACTTCTACTCCACTACATGTATTTAATACCTTTAGTTACTTCACAGATGTGGATGAATGATGTGAAATATAATCAAGTGTTAAATCAGACTTTAGTTCCACTTGGAGTAAATCCACAAGCTACCCTGCAGTATACAAAGTCATTCAAACTAGCTGCACCTTTACCAGCTTTGAGAACACTTTCATGATCAATCATTATAAAACATATCATATATATTATTCTGAAATGGACCAATCAAACAACGACTACTTTTACTGTCTTTAACTATATTTTGATGATAATACTTTTCTACTTTTACTTGAGGAACATTTTGAATGCAGGACTTTTACTGTAACAGAGTATTCCTACACTCAGATCTTGTACTTAGTAAAAGTAGAAGTACCAGAGTACTTAGATCTTGTAGTGAAATTATGAGTACTTGTACTTTTACTCAAGTACAATATCTGAGTACTTATTCTACCTCTGGTAGTGTATTAGCCTGAATTGTAGCCACAAAATCACACAGAGCTGCATAGAAATAGCCTCACAATGGTAACAAGTGGAAAATAATATTTACAAATGTGTACAATGATTTGTAGGTAATTTTGACTACTCAAGACACCTGACTTATACAAAGGAAGACTGTGTTCATTCTACAATTACATGGGATTAAAGCAAAATGTAGTTTTGCTTGTATAATACTTCAATTTTATATAAAAGACAGTTTGTTTTCATCTGTTTTCAAATAAACAAAGTCTTGGCTTTCAGAATATTAAACTTGTTTCGGCAAATTCAGATGATAAATACAGCTTTGAAGCTTCGGCATAATTACAAGTAGAGAACGGAGTAATGTAACATCACAGCAGGCATAACAACAGCCGGTGTTTCTTGTGAGTGTTTCCCCGGGACACAAACGCAAAAATACACAAACACACTCGCGAGCTTCCCCCAGACCAGTAATACAAACAAAAATGTGTCTTCGGGTCAATGTGACTGATTTCGATAGATCAAGTCACATTTGGTTTAGGCACGAAACATACTACCTGTAGAAATACATTGCTTTCAAAATCGCTCTGTGTCGAATCAATAGATTATATTTTGTGACTATCACACAAAATGCCGTGAGTGCTTCATCCTCTGAACACCACAGGATGGCGACTGTAACGCACATAACATAGGTACGCTCCTCTGAAATGATTGTCCCCTGCAATTATTATTATCCCTCATCGAGTTCGCTATTCAGCTAGCTAACGTTAGCTTAAACAAACGTAACATGCAACGTTAGCCTAATCTAAAATGCGTGCGTAAAACGGCGTACCTTTCATGTGGCTCGTCAGCGCAGACTCTCGCATCGCTATTTTTGCAAACTTTGCAGGAGGCTACTCGTGGGCTTGACCCTCGTCTTAGCCATGGCTTGTATTTGTCTTCTGCTAGCCAACGCTTGTTGACTTTTGCAAACTTTGCAGGAGGCTACTCGTGGGCTTGACCCTCGTCTTAGCCATGGCTTGTATTTGTCTTCTGCTAGCCAACGCTTGTTGAAACTGCAACCTCCTGGCACACAGTCATCTATCACTCTCATCAGAATGCCCAGGTCACACGCAACACAAACACTTGCAGGTCGCGCTGCAACCTGCAGCTGTTTTATGTAGAAGCGAAGCAATTCTTTTCTTTTAATCTAAAAAGCGAACTATTCAGTCAGACAGCAATTTATTGTAAAAGTAAAGCATTTACATTTTCAAGCACTTTATCTCAATTTCAAGCACCATTCCCAAAATTCAAGCACTTTCCCAACCTTGAAAACACCAAGTCAAATTTCAAGGATTTCAAGCACCCGTACGAACCCTGACTATAAGACCTGATGCCACCAGGCAGGAAAAAGGAGACAAAACATAGAGAGCACAGCAGAGGGCAGTAAAACTGATAAACTGGGTCAAAGTTATGAGCCTAGGAAAATATTTCCTCAACAGTTATGCGTGCACCATCCAATACTGCATTTGGCCATACTGCATCTGGTTTTCTTCCTGCTTGTCCCTAGTGTAAGCCATGACAGTATTCAAAGAAATGATTCCTAAGAAACAATGTTAATGATTCAGAGTTACCAGGTCAGAGCCCAAACCTCAATCTCAGCAGCAGCACACAGCACTATGCACATATAACACTTTATTATTTTAAACAACCACCAGGAGTAAAACATATTTCTACAAACGACAGCTTTAAGTACCTTTAATTGCGCGTGTGTGTGTGTACCTGATGTCGGGGTACTTGGACACCAGCGTGGTGACCTCCAGGAACAGCAGGGTGGGGTCTGTCAGCTTGAAGACCTCAGCGATGGCAGCGATGGCTCCACACAGCCGGTCAGTGTCTTCACCCTGTAGCAACCAGCACAGAGTCAGACTGCTCCCCCCATCTCTGTCCTCCACAGAGTCAGACTGCTACCCCCATCTCTGTCCTCCACAGAGTCAGACTGCTCCCCCCATCTCTGTCCTCCACAGAGTCAGACTGCTCCCCCCATCTCTGTCCACCACAGAGTCAGACTGCTACCCCCATCTCTGTCCTCCACAGAGTCAGACTGCTCCCCCCATCTCTGTCCACCACAGAGTCAGACTGCTCCCCCCATCTCTGTCCTCCACAGAGTCAGACTGCTCCCCCCATCTCTGTCCACCACAGAGTCAGACTGCTCCCCCCATCTCTGTCCTCCACAGAGTCAGACTGCTCCCCCCATCTCTGTCCACCACAGAGTCAGAATGCTCCCCCATCTCTGTCCTCCACAGAGTCAGACTGCTCCCCCCATCTCTGTCCTCCACAGAGTCAGACTGCTCCCCCCATCTCTGTCCTCCACAGAGTCAGACTGCTCCCCCCCATCTCTGTCCTCCACAGAGTCAGACTGCTCCCCCCCATCTATGTCCTCCACAGAGTCAGACTGCTCCCCCCATCTCTGTCCTCCACAGAGTCAGACTGCTCCCCCCCATCTCTGTCCTCCACAGAGTCAGACTGCTCCCCCCCATCTCTGTCCTCCACAGAGTCAGACTGCTCCCCCCCATCTCTGTCCTCCACAGAGTCAGACTGCTCCCCCCATCTCTGTCCTCCACAGAGTCAGACTGCTCCCCCCATCTCTGTCCTCCACAGAGTCAGACTGCTCCCCCCCATCTCTGTCCTCCACAGAGTCAGACTGCTCCCCCCCATCTCTGTCCTCCACAGAGTCAGACTGCTCCCCCCATCTCTGTCCTCCACAGAGTCAGACTGCTCCCCCCCCATCTCTGTCCTCCACAGAGTCAGACTGCTCCCCCCATCTCTGTCCTCCACAGAGTCAGACTTTTCCCCCCCCCATCTCTGTCCTCCACAGAGTCAGACTGCTCCCCCCATCTCTGTCCTCCACAGAGTCAGACTGCTCCCCCCATCTCTGTCCTCCACAGAGTCAGACTGCCCCCCCCCATCTCTGTCCTCCACAGAGTCAGACTGCTCCCCCCATCTCTGTCCTCCACAGAGTCAGACTGCTCCCCCCCCATCTCTGTCCTCCACAGAGTCAGACTGCTCCCCCCCCCCATCGCTGTCCTCCATAGAGTCAGACTGCTCCCCCCCCCATCTCTGTCCTCCACAGAGTCAGACTGCTCCCCCCATCTCTGTCCTCCACAGAGTCAGACTGCTCCCCCCCCCATCTCTGTCCTCCACAGAGTCAGACTGCTCCCCCCATCTCTGTCCTCCACAGAGTCAGACTGCTCCCCCCCCCCCATCTCTGTCCTCCACAGAGTCAGACTGCTCCCCCCATCTCTGTCCACCACAGAGTCAGACTGCTCCCCCCCCCATCTCTGTCCTCCACAGAGTCAGACTGCTCCCCCCCCATCTCTGTCCTCCACAGAGTCAGACTGCTCCCCCCCCCATCTCTGTCCTCCACAGAGTCCAGCTCTGGATCACACTGGCCCTTTCTCATTTCCCCTCCTCGACTCCTCGGTCCTCCGGTAGTGACCCGGAAATGGATTTCAGCGCGCCATGTTGAAGGACATCTAATTTCTCTAAATGCACATTGAGGACCGAGGATTGAGCATCGAGGAGGCTCTCTGGAGGAGCTATAATCGAGGATACACTCATGGGTCCTCCGCGCCAGTTTATTTCCGGCAACAGAGATGGTGTGACGCACGGCCGGACTTATCTCAGCCAATGACAGCTCTGCATGCATACCCTGAATATTATTTTATTAACTGCTTGGGGGGATATATCTAGTCTCTGATTGTGTTACGTTATTATGAGAGTGCTCTCATACTTACATATATATATATATTTATATAAATATATGTGTGTGTATATGTCCGCATCTGTAGCCTGTTATTGTCTCATTATACTGTCAATGAATTCAAAGTAAATATATAAGTAAGTAAGGAGGAGAATTAGATAAATGAGAAAGAGCCCATGTGTGTTTGGCTCATGCACTTTTACTAAGGGTCGCAATCCTCCAAAAGTTGATTATCTTTCAACTGGCTAAAAGCACAGGTTGCTTTAAAATTCCCTACTGATGCACTTTCAAAGTACTATATAACCCTACTTTATTTATTTGTATATATTGTTTCTCACACTTTACCTTGTTGCATTTGAACTTAATTTACGACAATTACTTTGCAGACAAATACTGTAAATAGCATCCTCGGTTTACATTCTGTTAGTAGGTTGGTCTATTATGGTGTGTTCTCATTCTGTATATTTATATTATGTATTCAATAGAGAGCCTATGTTGAAATAAATATTTTACATAATGCTAAGACAAGACAATTTCTCAGTTTGGGATCAATAAAGTAAATCTAATTTATTCTAATCTAATTCTAAATGAATGGGGGGAGGGACAATCCCCCAGCAACACCAGATGTGCTGTAAATGTGGTATTATGCATTGCTCTTTGCCCTCCTCATGTACATAACTTTGATCAGAACATCATTGGTGTTTTCTTGCGTTCGTTCAGGGGGCTGAATTGTTCTTGTTTACGTCACCCAAAACACATGCTTTTTGGATTTAAATTGCAATTACCAGATCACAAGGATCCAGAATGAATAACACCATGATGCTGATTTGTAAAAAGTTTGAATTCATGCTTAGTTGTTCTTTCTGCAAGATGACAAGCAAACCCCTTAAAAATGCCTGTTTTGTAAGTTAGGTTTGGAAAGAATTATCAATATTGTAGCTACTCCATCAACACTTAAAATAACCCCATCTATAACAAGGCATAACTATGGCAGCTATGGTACTGTTTACAAACATACATGTGTATTTACTGTAATATAGAATATAAATACTGAAAGGCCTTTAGGATGTTTATTATTGATGATGATGGCTAAAATATCTTTACCACCACTGAACGGAATCCCTTCTCATGTTTGCATTGACTTTGTGTTGTGTGGCTGTCCCTGATTGTTAGTTACCCCTGTGATGCTGGTGCTGACAGTGAAAAGTGTTTCATGTGCACTCACAGCAGCCAGTTTCCTGAAGAGGAACTTGAACTGGTCGGCCTCCTTGATCATCCTGTCGGCCCCCTCCCTCCTCTCATCAGCGTTCTTAAAGGTGATCCTCTTCTGCATCACCGCCTTGATGTACTCCACCACCACCCTGCGCAGGGCCTCGCTCGTCATCTCCTGGAGACACAATGTGTCATAAGACCGCAGTCACACAGAGAAGTGCAGGAATGAGTCCTGGAACCCAAATATTTGTTAAAATGTCAGCACTTCATATTTCCTCATATCAAAGTTTTTTGAACATGTCTTTTGATGCTGAAAAAAGATAAAGCCAAAGACATTTTCATGTTCTGTTAAACATAAAATACGTAAAGACCCTGCTGGTGATGTCTGAAGCTTCAATATGTCTAAAGACTTCAGTTGCTAACAAGTGACTAATACAAACTGAAGTTCATCATGCCAAACACGTTTAGCTTAGCTGTGGTGATGTGGGGTCATGTGACTGTCATATAGGGTTGCAAAATTCCAGGAATTTTCAAAGATGGAAACTTTCCCTCGAGTCAGACTCGAGTCACACATTGTATGACTTGAGACTCGACTTGACAACATCACAAAAGACTTGCGACTCGACTTGGACTTGAACACCAATGACTCGGGACTTGACTTGGACTTGAGCCTTCTGACTTGATACTTTAATTCAGAGGTCTCCAACACGCCGATCGCGAGCTGCCGCTAGAAGAGCAGACTCCCGTCGGGGAGAGCAGAATCTTCAGCCGCTCCTACTCTTGCTGAGAATCCTTGCAGGCAGGGGCGGGTCTTTATTTAGCTGGGCCACCATGCGGCCAATCATATGCGAGGACACACTAGGATCATACCATTATGTGAAAGAAGGGTGGGGGGCACAGCATGTGTAGTGGTACAGGCCAGCTGCACGGGGAGACGGATTTAAATGCAAGCCCGTCGGAAAAAGTCAAGAAATGAGCGAAAACCGAAAAAAGAAGCAGCATCTGGCTGCTTTTCAATGATATTGGAGAAAGCAAAGCTGAGTGCAGGATTTGTAAAAATGAAAATAACCTTCAGAGCAGGGTTTTTTTTTGGTAACCACTCAGGATTTATTGTCAGAGGTGGGAGAAGTTCAGACAATTAAAAAAGTTACAATCAGGGTTCCCGCGGGGTCTTAACAAGTCTTAAAAAGGTCTTAAATATGATTCAGAAGGTCTTAAAAATTATCGGATTTGAAAGGTACTTCTATGTTGCAATAGCGTCTAAATATGTTTTGGGGGAAATGTCCGGGCTGCAAAGTAACCAGTACGGTAATAGCCTTTCAGTTCCCCCCAACAATTTGTATTTAATTAAATCAACATGGAACCAGTAATCACTAACTTTGTTTCCCCCGGCCCCTTATTGGAGAACACCCAGCTAGTAACCTAGCAACCAAGCTTCAGCTCATGTAGCCTATCTTCGAATCTACTTACAAATACATATGGGGAAGTGTAAGTTCAACCGTATTTGGTTGGAAAACATCTAATTTAGTGCTTGGTTGAAACCAGTGGAGGGAACGTGTTTGAAGCCCGCTGCACCTTTTGCAAAATAAATTAGTGTTTGTTTTGCTAATGTAGCGTTAGCTAGTGCACCGTTAGCTAATGTAGCGTTAGCTAGTGCAGCGTTAGCTAATGTAGGGTTAGCTAGTGCAGCGTTAGCTAATGTAGGGTTAGCTAGTGCACCGTTAGCTAATGTAGCGTTAGCTAGTGCACCGTTAGCTAATGTAGCGTTAGCTAGTGCAGCGTTAGCTAATGTAGGGTTAGCTAGTGCAGCAGCAGCTAATGCAGCAGCTCCCGCAACAACACCGGGGGACCTCCGGGCGAAGTTTCTCACACACACACACACACACACACACACACACACACACACACACACACACACACACACCACACACACACACACACACACACACACACACACACACACACACCACACACACACACACACACACACACACACACACACACACACACACACACACACACACACACACACACACACACACACACACACACACACACACACACACAAGGGCTGCTCGATTATGGCAATAATCAAGATTATGTTGGTCAATAATTAATATCACGATTATTAAATATGATTATTCATTGACTTTGAAAACATCCATTTATTGAACTTTAAAACAAATAATAATTTGAACAGTATCTTTTTAACTGTTGATTACCCTGAACGTATAATTCAACTGAAAAACCAATACAAAAATTAATTAAATAAATGATACATTACTAAAAAATTAATTAGATCAAATATGTTGTGGTGCACTGTCACAACCTAGCAAAGCAAAATAATCGTTTTTTTCCGATTATGTTGTTTTCGTAATTGTGGCAGGCCAAAATCGTAATTGCGATTAAAATATGATTAATTGCACAGCCCTAACACACACACACACACACACACACACACACACACACACACACACACACACACACACTCAAACACACACAGACGCACACACATACACACTTTTTGTCTAACACGCTAACACAGTTCTGTACTGTTACACTGTTGTGTTCAGTCATTGTTCTTATGTTGAACATGAATACATTTACTTTGTAAGTGATTATGGGACGTATTTCTTCTTAATATACATTTTCCTTCATACTTTATTGCCGTGAAATAGGTCTTAAATTCTATTCAAAGTGGTCTTAAAAAGGTGTTAAAAAGTCTTAAATTTGAGTTGGCGAAACCTGCAGGAACCCTGTACAATAAAAAGTCCTGCATTCAAAATGTTACAAGTAAAAGTACAAAAGTAATAGCATCAACATATAGTTAAAGTACCACCTGCAGAGGGATCTAGATGCAGGTGTTCTTTTCCCCATAGAGACCGCCTCGCTGCACATTATCCCTTGCATAAAGATAGATTGTGGGTCCCTTACATCATGTTGTACACAGTGGAAATAAACATTCTGGTTACCTCAACATCAGGGATCTTATACATTAAACTCCTTCTGAATCAAACCGTCACGGTAGCCTTACCTTACTGATCCCTCTTAAATTAGAAAAACACACGTTACTTTACCAGCAGAGAGAAAATGGATTATTAAATTATTAATGTGACTAATAAAGAGCAGTTTGATTATTAAGTATTATTCTGTTGATCGATGTCATTACATTTGGTGAAAAACACATAATGACTTGTTTAAGACTCGTTTTGTCAAAGTTTAGGACTTGACTTGAACTTGCCCATCCTGACTTGAGACTTGACTCGGACTTGCAAAACAATGACTTGGTCCCACCTCTGCTGCTTACTGCATGGCTATTGAGACCACACAAAGGTTCGCAACAGGCTCACAAATGTGAGAGTGGAAAAACTGGTTGGCATTCGGGCAAACCTAAGGCTCTCTGAGCCTGACACAGAGCCATCCTCAACAAGGCTGGACAGTGACACTGAAGAGGAAGACTCAGAGTGTGATGTTGATGAGGCCCAGGAAGAGCCCGTTGACTGAAAGGGTTTAGCAAAAATGCAGAGGATTGCTTGAAGGAAGATTTAACATTTTGAATGGGACTTTGTGTGGATTTTTGGATGGGGGGGGGGTGCCTTTTTGTTCATTTTTTAATGAGGGGTTGGGAGGGATGAGTAATATTTAACTCAACATTCCTGTTTTCGTTCTTCAATGAAACAAATAATTGTTCAATAAAATAATTAAAACTTGTTCTGTTCTACTTAAAACATTTTTAAATTAAAAGAAATCTCATGAAATGTCATGTTTTTTGTTTAATTTTGCATCAAATATTTCCAAAATTCCCCAGCTTAACTTCCCATGGAAATTTACCGGAAATGTTCCGCCCCTTTGCAACCCTACTGTCATGTAGTTTGTTTTTTTCTTTTATCTGGTTAAATAAAGGTTAAATAAAATAAAATAAAAATTATAGGTTTTTACATCTGGTGATTGCATTTACGTTTCGTAAATTATAAAGTGGTGTTTATATGTGGGGATTATCCTGCTGAACAAAACATGACCGTATCATAAACATGTATTTGCCAGAGAGTTTATCTCCTGCAGTACTCACAGATCTTTCTGCAGAGGGAGCCTTGCTAACTTCAGCCGACTGAAACACATAATCGCTGCACCAACTTCTCTCCTCCTACCTGATTGAAGGGTTTCTTGATCTTGTTGAAGTCATTGAAGTAGTCCTCCACCGTCACACAGATGGTGTCCACAGCGTGAGAGCCCGTCAGCCACTTCCTGGTCATCAGCTCGTACAGGTGATGCTGCTCAACGCAACGGAACAGAGGCAGCAGGGAAATGCAAAGGAGCATTTAGTTTATTAACAGATTGCCCACAGTTGCCATTTTTACTGTCACTTAAACTGAAATAGATTGATTATCTTAAATGTATTCAGGCATCAGTAACATCGTGCCTAATTGCTGCCATGCTATCTTTCAAAAACAAAAGGAGCCGCAGTGAGAGTGATTGAGATTCTAGTTTTGTAATTATCAGACAATTGTTTGTTTGTTTATGTTTCTAAAAAGCTTAAAAAAATGCATCTGATCATTTATTTGGTGATGTTACCACTAATAACATTTCCTTTGTTATTTCCTTATTTTTGAATGTGACAGTCGTAAAAGGGGTGTTCAGGGATGCAAACACACATATGGTGAAAAAAGAGAGAAATATTCCAAGCAGAAAAAAAACAGCGTAATATAGCCTACCATCTGACAAGGCCTGTGCTATAATGCTTCAATGAACTGGCTATTCTTTATAATATACTCAGATCAAGAGGAGACAGAGATGTTAAGTTATAAATCAAGGGTCTTTATTATTATTTACAGCAGGGGTGGGGAACCTTTTTCCTCTCAAGGGCAAGGGCTGAACGATTAATCGATTTTAAATCGAAATCGCGATTTTAAATGATGCAATTATCAAATCGCAAAGCCTGCTTTTTTTTCTTTTTTGTTCTTCTTGTGTGTCAGTTATCCACACCAATCATAAGTGCTGTGCTCCACATGTACATTGTACATGTACATCCACATTGTTAACCAATCAGAAGTGGCCCATGATAGTAGGTGATAGACAGATGGATCCAATCACCTGCCAAGTATTTTTGAAATACTTTTCCAAATGGCTTCCAATGGAGCTTTCCTAGATGGTTTGGTGAAACAAAGCATCTGAGTCAGGTTAGTAATGCTCCATCACATGTTTTACATCTATTACAGGGTGAGTCTTAAACTGAAGCTTGACTTTAAAGCAACCCAATGGAAGTTTCATGTAAGTTTAGTTCTTTCACTCGTAGCTCGGGCTGCGGGGGTGCTAGAGACGGGAGCATGTTGATGCGACCTTCCTAGCCGGAGATATGGCCGCATTTTACAATAAACTTCCGCTGGGTCACTTCAAAACAAATATCGCAAATCGAATCGCAATCATATTTTCTGTCAGAAAAACGCAATTAGACTATTTCCCCAAATCGTGCAGCCCTATCAAGGGCCATTTCAATTTTTACAACATCCTCCAAGGGCCGTACAAATTATTGAACTCAACCTCTGCTTAAAAAAACTAAAATCACAGCCCATTCATTTCACCTTTCTTTCATGCTGTGCAAAGAAAAAGCAACCTCTTAATCCAGATATCTCACCATGACTCACGTATGCATGCACGTGCACGGTGTGGCATGACCACCAAAACAAAAAGATATGGACACAAGATGTGTGCAAATGTATTTAGTTTCCTATCCATGTGAACATCATTTAAGTGGGGGGGGGGACCTCACATCCTCTAGGGGGGTCCAGGGGCATGCTTACATTTTTTTTAATTTTTTTTTCACTCCCCTTTTAAACTGTATTCTTGTTATTTTTTAACAACTTATTTGTTACTGTCATATAGTATTTTAAACCTGTTTTTCATGTATTATTATTTTTATAACTATAATGATCATATCAAGGTGTGCCTTAACCTCACTGAGCTGAGGTTATTTGAGCCTCTCAGTCTGTCAGGAGAGAGCTCTCTTCCACCTGGTCATAGAAAAAGCTCTTTAAATTTGTTAGCATAGCTAGCTAACCAGATGCCAATAACAACAGATCGCCACTGGTCTTACAACTAAAGACACAGCCACGCAAAAACTGCGGCATGTGTTCAGCTCCACGTGACGTTACGCTCGTGTTGTGTACAAGGAACCTGTCCTTGGCCAGGAAAAACAGGCACTCTCTTGTTTAATTATTTTACGGTCTAGATTTTTTCGGAACCCCCCCCCAAAACGAAAACTCTTCAGTTCCCCACGAATTACACAAGTCACCCAAATCAGCGTTAAAAAAGCGGGAGGCGCCGAAAAGCGACTAATTTGCATGCATGGGTGTTACTGTGAAATTAAACATATTTTATAGCATTGTGCAGCCCAAATCAAATCACATTCGCAGAAATTGTATTAGGGTAATGGCAGAGGATAACGCAACAACTCACAGACCAGACATTACTTGGCTAGATACCATAGGAATATGTTTTTTTGTCTTTGTGAGATTATTGTTTTATCATCAATTCAGCCTCAGTGGATTTCATGACTACTGTGTAAAACAACAACATATCAGAGGATTATTAAAGACCATGGGCACATTTACTGTACCTGTAATACCTTAATTTCAAATGCATTTATATATTTTGGTTGTACTGTATACAGATTAATAGTAGATATGGTTCAGACTAGGGCTGTGCATCTTCACTGGTCTCACGATTCGATTACGATTATCCTGTCAACGATTCGATTCAATATCCCGATGCATACCAATGCGTTGCATCCTCAATTATCTATATTACTGCACATGGCTTAATTTTCATCAATGCATACATGCAGTAAATATATATGAACTCTCTTTTTATTATTTAGAAAGTGCTTCAGAAATCAATAACATAAATGTCTTGACATTCATTTATAAACCAAAATAAATGAATTGTATAGGTCTAGCCTCCCTATATCTGTGTGTGAAGTTGTTCCTTCCTCAAAAACAAAAAAATAATGCTTCTGCAGTCTAGCTGCAGCTTCTAGCAACGGTCTTCTGTTAAAAAAAAGGACACTGAATGTCCTGAATGTGGCATCACACACAGGACTTGAGTCTGAACACAGCAGACAACAGGAGTATTTACAATAGCATATACAAACAAAAATAGTGCATGTGGGTGCACACTTACATTCTCTGTCTTACTGTTACATAAATCCCATGAATGTATGAGATTAAGTTAGCTTCATTATATCTCAGTGATTAAGTGAATAATAAAGTTTCTATCGGGTCACTATCAGCCTGTCACTCATTATTTTCAGGGAGGGGGGCGGGGTTTGGAGGAACAGAGGAGACGGTGATCGCGGAAGCTTTTTTCCTCCTGCCTTCACAAACTTTACACACGTATAAATCGTCTGAAAATTGCTAGAGGACATTCATACTTTGCAATCCAAGACTTAATTAAATCCACCAAAAACCTGACATGATTGTAACGCGATTATTTTTGAAAAACATAAATCCCTGAGCCGCAGCGACACGGAGTGATTCAGAGCGGGTCCTTCTGCTGTTGGTTCTGGACTGGTGGTGTTGTGTTGGTGGATAAAGCAGACTGCTCCGTGTTTGGTGTTGCTGTGCCGCTGTCACGTCTGTTCCCTGATCTCTGCGTCACCGACCGATTTGATATTAAAGTGACAGAAAAAAAAAACGTTATAGTAAAGCCGCGGCCGGAAAATCAGGAAGCAACGTTACTACGCTATAACGGCCCGTCCACACTACAGCGTCGACAGCTTCAATCTGCCCATTCACTTTGAATGGGGTGACGTCACGTTGCCTCGCTTTTTCGCCGAACTGAATTGTGGGTAGCATAGCGGTCCGTCTCCGCCGGAGTAGCCAGCGCCAGCCAATCAAATCCCGTTTCGGAAAATCTGACAGCTCAAGCCGTAGCCAATCAAACCGCGTCTAAGCTGGGAGAGATATCCCGCCGTTAATTTCTACATTTAAAAAAAAGATGGAGGAGAAACTAATTATCGCCGTAGCAAATCACCCGGTTTTGTATGAGCAGACCCTCTTCACCTACCGGGATACAAACCGGAGCAACCAGGCATGGAGGAAGGTGGCAGAGACAGTGGGTGAAACTGGTAGGTTTTCGCTTGTTTGGGGAGTTTATATATATATATATTGCTCCCATAAAATCCCCGGGGTTTTTTGCTTTGTATGTCGGGGGCGGGAGATTCATGTGATTGGTTGTTGGTCGCATTGCTTGAATAAAATCCCCAAGCTTCAGACACGCCCAGCTCCAAGCTTTTTTTGAAGCTGTAGTGTGGACGCTCCGTAACCGATTATCTTCCGTCACTGCATCGAGACCGAATCGTCCACGTCCGCATCGCAATGCATCGTAGAAACGATTATTTTCAACACCCCTAGTTCAGACTAGTTCAGCCCCCCTACCTCCAGGTCCAGGAAGACCTCGTCCAGCAGGAACTGGCAGCCCTCCTTGGCCACCTCGCTGAGGGTCCTCTCGATGGCAGCGTCACTGTCAGTGGGCTCCGAACTCTGAGAGTATTTCCTCTTCAGACTGTTGATGGACTCTCTGAGGAGCACAGGCACATGTCAGCAACACAACATCAAACCCCACTGGGTTTGATATCAGTTACATGAAAAGAGATAAATAATCATGTTGTTAAACTCAGATATTTAGACATTTTAGTTTAAATGTCCTTCTTCCTCTGGCTCAAAAAAAAAAATGTATATATATTATTTGAAACATATATATGTATGTACAGGGCTGTCAAGTTAACGCGTTAATAACGCGTTAATAGCGCGTTAATAGCGCGTTAACGCAAAAACATGAACGCCACTAATTATTTTAACGCGATTAACGCATGTGATTTTTTGTCCTCGGCCGCCCCGTAGTTTCAGAGCGCATCAAGTTTAAAATACCGTCTACAAGCTGATGCTGACAGCCCCGCTCCTGCCGTCCGCTTGCGGCAGACCACACTTCCACGCTCACCGGCAAATGATAATAAACATTTGCATAAAGCATATTTGTCCACTCATATGTTGATAAGAGTATTACAAACTTGAAAAATATTCCTCTAAGGCAGTGGTTCCCAACCTGGATCGCAGGGGGGGCGCCAGGCCTCAGATGATTTGAGGCCAAATATCATATTTAGACTTAGCTAAAGTCATAAAAAGACATAAATGTATAATTCTTTCTTTAATAGAAATGTTTCTTCTGCGCGTTAAGTGTCCAAACCAGGATAAGATAAGCGATAAGCGCATTTTTAAAACATAGTCATTGTCCATGCCGGTTTCAGTTGGATTATTTGTCACAGTTGCTCCGATCAGATCGGTCTCCTCCATTTTGTAGATTATTTACGACTTTTGAATCCACATAAACACATCGGCAAAATCCGGCTTACTTTGATTATGTGTTTTAAACAGTTTAATCCCTGTGTGTATTGTTTCCACTTCCGCGCCGTCCTTTAATTTCTTCATACAGCGGGAATCCAAATTAATTAATCCTGAGTCCAATAACCATCAAAGTCACTCCAATAGTGCTCCTTAATTACGCTGTCATCCTCCTTTAACAAAATACTTCACATTCACCTAGTTTGTGACAGTAGTTGTAGCATTTTGAGACTTTGAAACTGTATTTACCGCGTTTAATAAAAGCGCTAACAGCAGTTGATGAATGAAATCTTACTTGAACGTCTGGCAGTTGTTGATGATGGCGATCATGTACTGTACGTAGCACTGAGGCAGCTGTCTGTCCCTCAGGTGCTCCTCTTTGTAGGTCACCGCCTCCTCTCGGTACCTACACACAGCCACACACACAGCACACACACACAGAGCACCACACAGAGCACCACACACAGCAACTGTGAGGAATATTGCAGTAGTTTGTTCCATAGAGCGCTGTTTGCATAGAACACACATAGGTATGCATAGGTAACCTTTTCAACAGAAAACTGAAGGTGAGTTCTGACTTCTAAAGTTAAACACACAACCATGAACAGTAAAACATCACTCAAGATTTAATGCTATATTGTTTTACATATTCAACCTTCAATTCAGAACAAACCACACTTTTCCATTGAGCTTGTGATGTGTTTGGTGAATAGAATCCCAACAGTTTTAAAGGATAGGTTTCAGAGACGTTTATCATATCAGAAAGATATGTTTACCTGATAAGGAAAGTGTTCATCTGTTTCAGGCAGAGCTTCAGAACCTGCTCCTTGAAATCCCCATCGATCTGTGCAGCGACCTGCAGGTTCTGCTCAAACATCTGAAGAAGACAGGAGCATGAACATCAGAGAGAGAGATGGAGTGAGATACACGGATCAGGAATCAGGAATACTCTCATTGGTCTGAAGTGGCTGTGTCTGAAGGTGTTACCTGGAAGACGATGGCGGGCAGCGTGGTCTGGTAGTACCCATCCTGGTCCGCCTCAGGCTCTGTTTCTTTCTGCCAGTCCTTCTTGTCTGTTTCCAGAGCCTTGCGCAGCCATCCTGTGATATTAGACTGAACATATGGATAGTCAAACAGTGTCTGGATCCACGCTTCACTAAAAGATGGGTTGGAACACGTTTTATTCACCAACATTCAGCAACATGAAGTGAATGTTTATTATTTAACACTGAGAGGTGCAGTGATGACGTATTTTAGTAGGTCCATCTAAAGCAGGGGTGCCCAACCAGTCGACACATCTCGCGATCGACTGGGAATCTCCCCGCGATCGACCGGTCGATCGCGGGGAGATTCCCAGTCGATAGCGAGATGTGTTTTATGACTCATTCCTGCACCACTCTTTGGGCCTCTGCAGTGGACTTGGGTAAGACAAGGTAATTTTTTGTAGTTAAATTACTGTGATTGAATGTCCACGGTCTATGTTAAGTGTGGCACTTCTGATAATGAGGGGACTCCAAAGAGAAGGTGGGAGTGAAATAAAGGCAGGTATAAAGTGTTAGAGTTTCTGTTAGAGTGTGGTGCGTACTGTAAAAGTCTTGACATATTTGCTGAGCAGGTCGTCCACCACGTCCTGAGGCAGCAGAGCTTCCAGAGCGTTGATGTCACACTCTGAAGCCAGGTCCGGGTGGCCCATCATCTCTACACTGGAACACACACACACAATAGGGCTGAATTAATCTGAATGATATTGTCAAATACAAAGTTAGATTCCTGTTTGTAATACCAATGGATTCTTAAGCTACTCTGAAATAAGTGTTATAGTTAAGAAAGACAAATCTGTTGAATGTAATAATAAATGACGTCAAACTGGAAATAAATATGCAAACTGATAGAGAGTCAGTGCAAACATGCATGGAGGTAAAGGTCACCATGGAGACAACAAACTAAGTCTCATCACAAATTATTTAAAGAATGTTGAATTTACCAAATTCATTCTGACTGTTGCAGAACCCCCAAAACAAAGGACAAATGTCAAGTTATGTCTTTGAACGGATGAATGTCTTACAATAGTGCTTGAAACTAAATATTATCAATGATATGGTAATTGCGATACGATTTACGCTATTTGAGGGATTGATCATTTTTTCATTATTCTCATTATCATTGAAAGATATATTAAAATGATCATGGTGTGATTTTTTGTAGAATCTGTACCAAACAAAGATATATTAATAAGTCTGTATACAATTATATGTAGGCCAGGACATCAATGCAGAAGCACAATACCTTATAATATTAACACACTTTTAGCCTTTTGCTATTTGAATATTGCAATAACCCATTCATTGTGCAGCCCGATCCCGAACACATACATGTACACAGGCAGCTTCTCAAAGTGTTACCTCTTATAGGTGTTCAGCACCCAGGTGAGCATGGACACGATCTCATTGGCCTCCAGGTCCTCAGCGGCCAGCTCTTTGACGCGAGAGGACACAGCATTGTGGTAGAGACCGAAAAACCTGAAACATGCAAACCATCGCTGCATTATTAATGAAGGTGGAAATGATGTACAACTGAATACTGGGACGTTAAGCATATCATTCACAACAGCCTGTTTCAGTTTGTCAGGGGGAAACTCATGTGAATGTGGCTCCCATTTCCAATGTCAACTGTTCAAGCGTCGGGTCAGAGTTGAAAATGTTTCCACTATTCAGAAAAGTGTCAGTGTCGTCACTTTATACAAATTGGATGAAAAGCTTGAGACTGGGAGAAACTGAAGGAGACAGCAGAGGCAGAACGCAGCAGGAGCAGAGGCACACGCAACCAAGGGATTAAGAGACCACGGCAGTCCAGGAGAGGGTCAACGGAGCACCTTTACATCCCTGGAAAGACTCTGGTTTTGAAAAAAGACTTTTAACCCTTTTAACATTTGAATTATTTGTATTGTTTTAACTGCGTTTAATTGTATTTTTAAATAGTTTTAGACTATCTTTTTACTGAGATTACAGCTCTGATTTTAATTTTCTTAGTAAAGTTTTAATGTTCTACTGAATAAATTATTGAGTTTTAAACTTAGTAGTTGGCTCCTTGATTACCCAGTTTTGCTCTCCACCTGATTTAAAAGAACCCTTTCCCTCTCCATAAATGATTACCCCCCTCCAGGACATCGTTTCCTTGTCTGTCGGACGGAAATGATCATAAGAAAGACCTAAAAGCTTGTTTGTTGGAGCAGGTCGGCCGGGTGGACACCGGATGTTACTAACTGTTTCGTTCCCAATTGGCTAGGGGAACAAAAGGGAAACGACACGACCAGAGTAGTATTGGTATAATTATAGGTGATTTATTTGTAATAGCAGCGGTAAACAAAATGGCAGGCAGGCAGCCTGAAACAAACAAAAGGGCCAAAAGGGCACAGGTTGACAGATAACAAAACTAAGGGAGGACTCAAAAGGAGTCTAAAGGCCTACAGGGAAAATAAATACTAATAAACTAACTAAAGAACGAAACAAAACCTCACTTCAAGAGTGGTACAACTAACAAAGGGAGTCTACACAAAACACACAGCTAAACTAAATACTAACAATACTCTAAACACTAACTAACCTACTCTACACTCTACTAACACACAATATCACACGGAGATAAACACACAAGATTAACCACAGAATGAAGAGCAAAATGCGAGAGGCGTCTGTTCACTCAACAGAGCCTCCAGAGTGGTGATAGTCCCAGCCTTTGTACTCCTCCCCAGCAGGTGTGCGCCGGCTGTGCGCTGCGATTGGACGACGTCGATCCAATCACCATCTTCAGAGGCGGACCAGGAGATGGGCAGCCAATGATGTTGGGGCTACCACACAGCTCATTTGCATAATCACACACGCACACAGCTGCAAACAATCCCAGACAGATTAAGGAGCAGACAAACAGCAACCGTAACACTAACGCTGAGTGCTTGACTGTGATTGCCCCCTCCCTCGCTATAGGGTTTTCAAACAGAGCAATGACAAGCTCATTCCTACAAAGTGTGAGAGCAAGAATCTTCCTGTTGGTGCTTATAGTGAAAAAACATATATACAGTATCAAAAATCCATGCTAGTCTGTTTTACAACAGCGGTGATGCGTAATTGACATATTGTTGCCATAGTGGGAACGTTTCTTGATGCCTTTCCACAAGAAAAAAGGCGCCATTTGGACACGGTCCCTAAGTTAGTATTTCTGATGTGATCTGCTTCATGACCAGACCTTGTGTTTATATCTGTTCGCTGCTGACAGAAACACACTGACTGTGTGTGTGTTACCTGTTGAAGGTGTCGTAGTGCTGGGGGAAACACTGCACCATCAGGTTCTTCACAACGATCAGGTCATCCAGAACATATTTCCTGGTTATTTCTAAAAGACGAACCAGCCACATCTTATCAGCCTCTCTGGTCACTGACTGGGTGCCCTCAATGCGGGTGCTGACCGTCCCCTCCAACACCTGCAACACATCAGGACCTCAGGATCACACCCAGGAAATTGCTTTAGAGTCGCTACGGTTTCCTAGAAAACTACTTCTTACCGAGGTGAAGCCAACTAAACGTTCATTGGCCTTGTCTGATTCTGCAGCTAAACAAATATAATATTACTATGAATCCTAAAATGTCCCATACTTTCAGTCTCACAACACGTAATTACTTTGTTGAAATGCTTTGATGAGCGATAACACTGGAAACATAACGAGGCTGCTGGATGCTGGACCTGATGTCTTACAATACTGAAGGTTTAGAGCAGGTGTTCACACTGTAGGCCACCGTCAGTTCTGCTGAACTCTCCCTGGCTCTGCATATTCAAATGATTCTTAGGCTGGCAATAAACATATTTGCTTTTACTCAGAGCGTGCCTACACTTCAAAAACAAAAAACAGAGGAGCCAGCTAAAGATTAAGATGGACGTTATAGCTGTTCTCTACACGAGGCCTACTTAAATGAACAATAACATTCTAATATTTATAAAGTCTAATATTGAATCAATATAATGTTATAGTGTGTATTTATAAATAGATAAGAATTAGCGCAAAAAACATTAAACATTTCACGTCTTAGTGTTAACAGTAGCAATGTACGAGGAAATCCTACTGGTGATGACATCTTCCACACACACATCCATGTTCCACTGTGGGCTGGGAAAAAGGCCTCTCAATCATGATTCTGACATATGCTCCATATGCTTTCCATATATAAATATATATATATATATATTAGGGCTGTCAAGTTAACGCGTTAATAACGCAAAAAAAAATTAACGCCACTAATTATTTTAACGCGATTAACGCATGTGTATTTTTTGTCCTCGGCCGCCCCGTAGTTTCAGAGCGTATCGAGTTTAAAATACCATCTACAAGCTGATGCTGACAGCCCCGCTCCTGCCGCCCGCTTGTGGCAGATCACACTTCCACGCTCACCGGCAGGCACCGACTGGCTATCGGGAGGACCGGGAGGGTGTGTGTATGTGTGGCCCGAGCGAGCGAGAGAGAGACCTTACGTGCATTGTTGTTGTTAGCATCTGGTGCTAGCTAGCTGCGCTAACGGATATGGAGCTGTTTAAATGAAAACAGAGGAGCGACATTTCGCCACAACTGCGCCAAGCACTTGACTTTATGCAGGAAGCCAGACAGTGGGGCATTGTACGAAAAGTCAGCACACTCAGCACGGATAGTGCGCAACATGATTGCAGCGTCCAGGCAGCTCCCGTTCGAGCATATGCCTTGAGTTGCACATAGCTCCAACGATCCATCTCACACACACACACACACACACAGCACACACACACACACACACACACACACACACACACACACACACACACAACACACAACACACACACACACACACACACACACACACACACACACACACACACACCACACACACACACACACACACACACACACACACACACACACACACACACACACACACACACACACACACACACACACACCACACACACACACACACCCACACACACACACACACACACACACACACACACACACACACACACACACACACACACACACACACACACGAGAGGTTCCAGGTTGAATTGAGGCGAATATTTGTAATGTTCAGAGGTTGTTGTGTTTAATATTCATGAGAATATTTGTCATTGTTCAAATGATAATAAACATTAGCATAAAGCATATTTGTCCACTCATATGTTGATAAGAGTATTAAAAACTTGAAAAATATTCCTCTAAGGTACATTTAGAACAGATCAAAAATGTGCGATTAATTTGCGATTAATCGCGATTAACTATGGACAATCATGCGATTAAATATTTTAATCGACTGACAGCCCTAATATATATATAAATATTATAGACAGGGGTGCACATAACTTTTTTAGTGAGTTACTCAGATGAGTACCAGGAGACAGCGTTTGGTACTCACCCCACATGAAGCGTGGTGTTAATAAGTGCAGTCTTCCTCACTGTCCTCCTCAGTGTCTCCTTCACTGTCCTCTATTTACACTTCTTGCATGCTAGATGATGAAGATGATGAAGATGCACCTCCCCGTCTCTTTTTAAGCCTCCGATTTGCTTTCTCCAAAACTTGTTGCCAAAACTGTGAAGTCCTTGCATTTCCTGAGGCCAAGTTGGAGGATCAAACACTAAGGAATTATGACATGACTTGACGTCATATCTGATTTCAGATGTGGGAAGTAACAAAGTACACGTATTCAAGTACTGTACTTAAGTACAATTTAAGATACTTGTAGTTTACTTGAGTATTTCTATTTTATGCTACTTTGTACTTCTACTCCACAACAGTTCAGAGGTAAATCATGTACTTTTCCTCCACTACATGTATTTAATACCTTTAGTTACTTTACAGATGTGGATGAATGATGTGAAATATAATCAAGTGTTAAATCAGACTTTAGTTCCACCTGGAGTGAATCCACCAGCTACCCTGCAGTATACAAAGTCATTCAAACACATTTGATAACACTGTAATGATCATAAAACATATCATATACATTATTATGAAATGGACCAATCTGCAAAATGACTACTTTTACTGTCGCTACCTTAACTAGATTTTGATGATAATACTTTTCTAATTTTACTTGAGTAACACTTCTTCCACCTCTGTCTGATTTCAAACTCTTCAATTAACACCCTGAGTAAGTTTGCAGCTGTGTGTTTTACTCCACTTTGTTGTAAATCAAACTGCAGCAGCTTGACCACAGAGCGTGAACGTTGTGATCAGCTGATTTTGCGCAGTTCTCCAGTGTGTGCGCGGGGCACAGAATGTGCACAGGAGAGTCTCCCACTGCAGCCAGTTGACGTAGTTTTGGTACAATTCTGTTGTTCATACCGACGTTAACAGCATTCCCGTCTGTGCAACTCTGTCGTCCAGTGATCTAAGCCTCTTTCTCCTGTGAAGCTTCACAGGTCCGTCGGTTATGTCCTGCGCGGCTCGCTCTCCATCAATCAGTCGTAGAAAGTCCGAAGATATTTGCAGGGAGCGAAACGACAACGTAGCTGCTTAATGTCTTTGTTTTTTTTGGACATGTCTAAGAATTTACTCCACTGAGAAACATGTGTAGACGAAATATGTGTTTGGTTTTTGATGACCTAACAGGTACGCAAAGGCGCGTAGTGACACAAGTGACGTTACGCATATCAGATTGTTGCCGCGCATGCGTACCAGTTATGTGCACCCCTGATTATAGACCTGTCTGCTGTGTAAATGTTTGTGAAGAGAGAAAGGAACAAAAGAAGAGCAAAAATACTTGCAAGAAAATGGATAGCAGCTATTTTGTGTGGAAGGAAAAGTCTGGAGTTAGGTGAGCAGGAAAAACGTAAAGAAGTGTTGGACTCAAATCTAGATTAATTATTTTTAAAAAAGGGGGAAGAAAATAATAAAAGAAAAGATAGGAGGCTTGGTAAATATAAAATAGAAGGGTTGTATAAGAATAACAAATCTAACGATGAATAAGAGAGTAAGTTGGATGATGACAAAGGATCAAAAAAGAGTGAGCCAATTAATGTTCTTCACAACTTTGAGTATATAAAGATGTATCCTCTGATCCTCCTCTCACCTCGAACATCTTGTCCTTCCAGCGTTTGGGTCTCCCAGGAGGGATGAAGCCGCTCTGCTTCTTCCGGTCCACCATACGCCTATCGATCTTCACCTCCCGCTCGATGATACGGACCACCGACACCAGCATGGTAGGGTCCCGGCGGACCGTCACCATGGACCTCTGCAGAACCATCCACAGCTGCTTGGCCAGCTCATCGGACAGACCCTGAACCTGGAGATCCACAAACACACTAACTCTGAGTTCTGGTTCGCTAGGTAACATGTAGGAAGACAACTGTGTCCACCAGAAAGGTGAACTATGTTAAGCTTAAGACTTAAATCAGCTCATAAACATATAACTTATATTTATACAACTATACAATAACAAGGTTCTTTTTTTGCAAATAGATTAATATTATCAATTGAGCAGGGTTCATTTGACTTTATCTATATGTTTTCATTACGGCAGCAAGAAGACTGTTCACTGCAGCTAGCAATACAAGGCCCTCCTTCCAAAACTTGACAGATTCTTTACAGTTTTAAGTCAAAAAGGAGAAGTTGTGAAAAGAAAATGAACTGCTTTAATGTTATTGTCTAAATATTCTACAATTACACAACACATTATGAAATATTAAATAAAAGCATTTAATGCCAGCCAGTATCCAGGTCCAATAAATAAAGTGTTGGCATTTGTTGGCATTGTGAAGTGGCATGGAATTATGGCAGTTGTTGCCTTCACAACCGTACTTTAAGATCCAGACGTCCAATGACTAAAATCCCTTATAACCAGGGGTGCACATAACTGGTACGCAGGTACGCATGCGTGGCAACAATCTGAAATGCGTACCGTCACTTGTGTCACAAAGTGCATTTGCGTACCGACGTACTTGTGAAGCTTTTCAAGAAGGCGGTTAGATCACCGGACGACAGAGTCGGTCTCCGTGTGCACAGACAGGGCTGCTGTTAACGTCGGTCTGTTCAACGGAATTGTGCCAAAACTACGCCATCCGGCTGCGGAGGGAGACTCCCCCCTTCACTGGAGAACTGCGCTTAAACAGCTGATCACAACGTTCACACTCTGTGGTCAAGAAGTACTCCACTAGTCCCCCCCCCGTCCCCGTCGACTTTCCTGAAGTACTCCACTAGTCCCCCCCCCGTCCCCGTCGACTGTACTGAAGTACTCCACTAGGGTTTGAAAATGGTTGGAAGCATTTAAGAAAATATAAGTACAAAACTTTACAAAAAATAATGCAAAGGTCAAGAGGTTTTTAGAGATTTAAATGCTGACATATACCATATTATACCTTCAAGTTACTGTCAATGAAAGTAAAACATTTATAACTGAGATGTACGATGTTCAGACATTTTACAGTAAGTATACAACAGTCAAAAATGCTATCACATAAACTTACATCTTCAAAGTAGATGGAGATGAGGTTCATGTCACTGGTGTTCTTGCTGTCCATGCGGTACTGCTCGTACATGAGGTCGTCCCGGGAGCACTCCAGCTCCATCAGCTTCCTGTGTGCCTGCAGCAGCTCGCCCTGCTCGATCAGCTGCTGCGTGTCCGCCACGATCTCTGGGACTGCACACAGCAACATGACAAACACACAGAGGGCAGTGCATGAGGAACCAGGAGAGAAGTCAAAGATAGCTTGTAAGGCCTGGGATGTGTCTTTAGTGGCAGTGTGTGGGCCTGTGTCCACAGAGAGTTTTTCTGTCAAAAAGGGGCAGGAAGGCACTTGAAAAAGCCTCCTTCCAGTGTTTCATAAAAAAACAAAACCATGATATCTGGATAATATACATTGTTCAATTCACTCTGCTCCAACAAGCTTTTTAATCTTTCTAATGACAGTTTTTGTCTAAATTACATGGCTGAAACAGGCTTCCCCTCCAATTTCTACAGTAATGCCAATGGTGCTTTTCTGAAAAAGTTGCAAAGTGTTCAACTAGAAGTGCACAAGAACAGTACTCAGAGTGCTCAGAAATAGGCGTCTGCATTGAACGATCAGAATTATGCGGGCACAGGCCCTTAGTCTGTGATGGGACTTCTTCAAGGTGGAGGCGGACCTAGCTTACCAGAGAAAATGTTTTTGAGGTTTTCCACAGCCGAGGCCAGCTGACTGTGTTGAACTACGGCATCCTTGACGTCCTTCAGGTTCTCGATGGTGTTGATGCTCTGCCTCCAGTCTTTGCTCACGTCAGCCAGGGAGCCCTGGATATCTTTGACGTCCAGCAGAGCGCTGTGCAGCTGGGTCAGTCCGGTGCGAACCCCGTCCAGCTGCGACTGGATGGCTGCCTGCAGGACGTCCAGAGACAGATACTATTGTTAATAACACCATTATTTGTGCTTCCTGTCATTAATTAAAGGGTGGTATATATTGAATGCTTGCTTTTGTCTGACTGATTGCTAACTGTTATACACAATCAAGTCACCAAATAATAGCGATCTCCACCAAACAATAACAGACCGATTAGTAGGGTTGGGAACCGAAACTCGGTTCCAGAGGAGAACCGATAAGAAAATGCCGGGTACCGGGTACCCATACAAAATACACAATTTTGGTTCTGCTTAACGGTTCCTAAATGCGGTAGACCCTGTATTCCACCGGGTCCGTCTGCGCCGCGGCGACCCGGTGGAATACAGGGGCGGACTGGCCATCTGTGTGTTCTGGAGAAACGGGGAATCGATAAGAACCGGAATCGGAATCGATACATTTCAGACGATACCCATCCCTACCGATTAGAGATGCAAATATTTCAGTACACTTCACTGACACCGAAGATGAATGGTTTAAACCTTTATGACCAATTGTATTTTAAAAGCAAATGTCAAAAATGTTGTGATTTTGTGTTTAATAAATAGTGTTAGTGCTGCAGCATTCAGTCTATTATTGTTTTTAAGATTATAAAAAGAACACATTCTACAACTGTTTTGGATTTTTTTGATTTCCTGGTTTTAGCCTTTGAGGAACTTTGATGAATTGCAGCAGTTATTGAAAATCCTTATTTTAATGATGATCTTTGCATTTTGGGTTGTTGACCGGTTTTCATTTTGACTGAAACAATTGTTGCTGAACATTAGGTGAACAGATGTGTAGGATGAAACAGTGTATGCGAGCTACACTTCACATCACCTTCAGCCTAGCTTCCACGGAGGCCTTCTTGCGAGCCTCTCTCCTCCTGTACTGCTCCACTTTGTCCAGCTGGTCCGAGCGCTGCAGCATCCCAGCCACGCGCTGCACCGCCGTGGCAACCGCCTCCCGACTCGTCTCCTCCATGGTGGTCCTCAGTCTTAGAAAGTACCAGTCGTACCCAAAGGCTTTATACAAACACTCTTGAGCTGAAGGAGAAAAATACACAAACACACAACATCACTTATAATTTTCTGTCAGTAACAGATCGTTACTCTTTATTTAAATCAAGATTTTGTATTTTCTGGAATTCTGATTGTTAAACCTAAGAAGACAACAGGATTCAACTAATTGTTGAAGATATATTCAATTTCTCTAATAATGCAAGTGTTTCCCTATCACACTTTAAAAACAAACGTAAGTATGGTGATTTTTTAAGAGAACTGAGGCACAGCAACCCATATTGTTTGGCCATTCTCTCCACAAACTAAAAAAACAACTAAATTCCCATCAACAGATAATAATTAAATGGAGCTTTTCTGCAGTTTCTAACAGTGTTGTAAGCAAATGAACAGAGAGTTGCGTCACAAAATCCAAAGCCAACAGCAGTTTTACTGATTAGCAGTGGAGGAACGTAATTAGGTACATCTACTAGCCACAGTACCTGTACTGTACTGAAGAATACAATGTAGCTATTTGTACTTTAATTAAGTATTTTCTTATTTTGCTACTTTATACTTTTACTCCACTCCATTTTGTAGGCAAATATTGTACTTTTTACGCCACTACATTTATTGTATGTGTTTAGTAACTAGTTACTTGGCAGATTTTGATTATTAACACAAAATATAAATCAACTACTACATTATTATAGGTTAAGCTACCCAGTAGTTTATGAAATAATTCAAATAAACCCCACCTTTACCATGTGCAACATTAAAGTGATGAACACATTAATGCATCAATAACTATAATACAATCATTCAAATATATCGTGCTCAAATGGGCAATCTGCATAATGAGTACTTTTTTACTGTATTTATTTTACTGCTAATACTTTTGTAAAAATAATGAATAAATAAGTAGCCAGCAATATTTATCTGGTGAAACACGCTTGTAATGATTCATCTGTGGCTGACTTCATGCTGAAGGTGAACAGGATGTCCTGTCATAATAGAGCCACATGACTCCTATTTCCACAGTTTAAATTGGACACTGTCCAAAAGTGACCCTGGAGCAGAGAGAGACAGCTGTGGCACAGGCTTTGTTATAATGACATTTAGCTTTTCAGATGTTGGTAGATGGTTCCACTAGTTTTAATGAAGGGTGGTAACGTCATGTAATGCCAGACGGCTAGTGAGCTTTCGGAGAGCATGCTAGCGTCGACAGCTGGTACACAGCAGCCGGACAAACTATTCCCTCGGACACATGTCAAATACAACATAAGCCTTATGACGATATCGAGCTTTAGTTTCACATCTCAATACATGTCGTTCACATAAGCTAAGCTAACAACGGCTAACATTAGCTCGCCTGTGAAACAAGCTCGAGATAAACATTCAAGAAAGAGTATTACCTCAGGCACTTAGGGACTCAAAGTGAGGAAGATAAAACCAATTTCTACAAATATAATATTGTTATTCTGGTTATCTTGTTTTGTTTCTTCTTCCTCACCAGTGCTCCGACGAGCACCAGCTGCTTCTCTTCTTCTTCTTCGGCCCAACTCCAAACCACACCCTACACCCTACCCCTCCGTGACGGAGTGACACCCCGTTCTTATTATACATCCATGAGTGACACTCGCAGCTCAACGAGGCTCCCTCCTGTCAGATGGAGGGAGTAAATACAGCAGCGAGCTTTGGGACAAACTACCCTCTCTCCGGCAGAAACAGGAAATGCCGTAACTGTATGTAACAACGGTTTCAAATCCGCATCTCTTAGACAAAACATTTAAATGAATAACTACAATAAAACTCCAAGCATCTTTGATTGTGTGATTTAAACCTGATGTTTATAAGCTTCTTAGTTTTTACAACAGTCTGTAAATATACTAAACTTTATAATAAAATGCACACATTTACCTTTTTCTTGACTAGGTATGATCCTAAAAAAGAATGAGGTTACATGTGTACATGAGGTTGTTAACATCGCAATTTATCAGTGGATGTTTGCAGGAACTGTTTGTAAACAGCTTGGTTCTTGATGGACACACACAGCGTTGAGTCCATGGATGGGGCGGTTTGGAATTAGGCCTTCTTCTTCTTCTTCTTCTTCTTCTTCTTCTTCTTCTTCTTCTTCTTCTTCTCTTGAAGCGTGCGGCAGACTAACACAGCAGGGCGTGTTGAACCCCCTACAGGTCAGTTGAAGAACTGCATCGATTCGCTTACATCGTTGCGCCGTGTCTATTGCGATGAAGAAAGGTAAGGACAGTTTTGGCTTATTCACAATCTCCCGTAGCGAGTATTGATTTCAATGGTCTCTAACTTATATTTCTGACAGTTCAAGAGGTTTATTCCTGTTTTATTGTTGGTGCATTCCATTCAAGCGCAATTCCTAGTGTCTGCCTGTTCACAGCTGCATCTCTGATCCAGATGCCAGCCATGATCAGTCCGCAGGGAGCCAGTCTCAGCCTGGTTAACACCCCACTGCCTGGCCCTGAATCTGACACGTGTTTCAGTGTTGTCAATAAAACCTTGGTTTACCTTCTCTCATTCCCTATGCCATACAATTGCATAAATTAGATGTGCTATCAAGCTCCTAAATTCAACTCTTCCATACCGTACTTCCTGTTTTTGCTATTTTATAATCTTATTTATTCACCATTACTCAAGAACCCAATAGTATTCACCAATTTACAAATTCAATGTAAATATTATTATTTTGTACTATATTAGATATGTTCTCGCCTTTTTTTCATAGCAGTAGTATAATCTAAAAATAGGATTATTTTCCTTGTCTAACCTTATGCCCACAATACTGCAATAAACTCTACAGTGAAGACTGACAAATGATGTGATTTCTGCTTTCCAAGCTGATCTGCAATCTTAAATTGTTCAAGATCTGTGAAAATCTGTATGATATCACACATATTCCTTTAGGATGCTGTTTCCCACTCCCAAATGACAGAATAAGACACGTTCTTTCTACAATGGAGTAGTATATGTTGAACTGTTTCTGGATAATAACAGTGTGTGCATTCACCAGTTGGGTGGGTTAGCAGATGGTCATCGTTGATAGACACTCTCCTTTCTTATTCATTTTGGATTTTAACAGTAATTGGTAATATAAGTTCAGGTCCAATTCCCCCAATTTCTGTTTCAAAGTCATATTTTTTTTTAAAAACGGTTGCAACAGATCACTGTATAGTATGCAAGGTGTTTGCAACATCTTTTCAGTTGTACTATTTATTTAACATGTGCATTTTCAATGAAACAATCCAAACTTGCTTAACACATAGTTTGCACATGCTAGTGTGTCTGTGAACATGTGGAACTGTTGACAAACAGCAGATGGTCTCAAAGTCTCTGAGAAGTATTAGATGCAGTTCATATTGTGAACGCCAGGGGTCATTATCACTATGTGAGTGGATTATTTTTGATATGGAAGAAGCTTTACCAGTCAGAGCAGTTTCCTGAGAAATAAGTTGCTGTTTGGCAGATCTCAACTCTAAAGTTCAGTTTGCTAGCCTATAAGTATATATAGTGATGTATTCCACTCATGGCAATGATTATAAAAGTAAACATGTTCACTTTAGGAACTTTTCTCTTTTTGTGTAGCCGATGATGGAAAGGAGCAGGGAGAAGCATGCATCAATGGTTGAGCTTCAACTCCCTGGGCCCCTGGGCACTGAGAGCTCAGGGCCCCTCAACCCACCTACCCAACGCGTGTGTGTGTGTGTGTGTGTGTGTGTGTGTGTGTGTGTGTGCGTGCGTGCGTGCGTGCGTGCGTGCGTGCGTGCGTACGTGCGTGCATGCGCGCGTGCGTGCATGCGCGCGTGCGTGCAATAGAGAGAGCATTGTTCGGAGCTCGGCCCCCTTCTATTCAACATCTACATGCTCCCCCTCGGTGAAATCATCCGCCAACATGGTCTCAACTTCCACTCCTATGCCGACGACACCCAACTCTACATCAGTACCAATCCATCATCCCAGCTACCCCCACTGTCACTTGTCAACTGCCTCCGCGACATCCAAGCCTGGATGTCAAAAAATCTACTTAAACTCAACAATAACAAAACAGAGCTCATGGTTGTGGCCCCAAAAACACTGCTCCGGAAGGTTGGAGATCTGCTCCTCACCATCGATGGCGGCTCCATCCACCCTTCCCCTGAGGTTCGCAGCCTGGGCGTCACTCTGGACTCTAGCCTCACCTTCAACTCCCACATCAGGTCTACTGTCAAAACCGCTTTCTTTCACATACGAAACATCTCCAGGCTCCGGCCCTCTCTCCCCGACCCTGTTGCAGAAACATTAATTCATACCTTCATCTCCTCTCGTCTGGACTACTGCAATGGAGTTCTGTTCGGGGTCACCAGCAAAGCCCTGGACAGGCTCCAGTACGTCCAGAACTCTGCAGCCAGGCTCCTCACCCACACTAAGCCCTGGCAACACATCACCCTCATCCACCTTCACTGGCTCCCGGTCAAGTCACCCATCCAGTACAAACTCCTCCTGCTAACTTACAAATCTCTCCACTCCCTAGCCCCTCCATACATCTCTGACCTCCTTCAGCCCTACACCCCCTCTCGTCACCTGCGGTCCTCTGACAAAGGGCTACTCTCCATCCAGCGCTCCAAGCTGAAAACATTTGGCAACAGAGCCTTCAGTGTCGCAGCCCCCACCCTCTGGAATTCGCTCCCCTCTGCAATCAGGAATGCAGACACTCTGGACACCTTCAAAAAACACCTCAAACACCATCTGTTCACTCAGGCCTTTGGCCTCAACTAATATACAGTACTAAGCAACCTGTTCCTGTTTTGTTTTCTTCAGCCTATGTATCTGTATGATTATTATTACTTTTTGTTTTGTTACTTCCTATTGTAAAGCGTCCTTGGGTTTCGTGAAAGTTTCATACATTTTTCGTAAATTGAAATTATTATTATTATTATTATTATTAGCATGTGTGTTTGTAAGACAATCCCTCAATCCCTCAAATTAGTGGATCTTACCATTTAGAAGTGTTTCTTTCTTGCACTTTTATTTGCAAAGTCTGTGATAAGTTCATAAAAATCCTAACATTACTCGCTAGCTCAACAACATCCTCAGGCTCCGTGACCGTCACTGTTCCTTGCGGTTGCTGGCCTAATTCGTCACTTTTAGCTTTTTTGAAAAAGCTATTTATTGTTGGGAAATGTTTTAATGCAGCCACCACTCTCTAGTAGTAGTACCAATCCCCTTGCAAATACATTAGTATGCATACAAAGTGACAGGTGGACCCGCTCCCAATTACGCTAATGAGCTAAGTCCCGCCTCAATTTGTTCGAGGTGGATGTCACACCTAGGTGTGAATTCACACGTAGGTGTGAGATCCTTTGATGTGAGGGGTGAGGTTGTGACAGTCGCAGATTGATCTCAGTGTTTCTTATAAACTGTAGGGGCAGGGGAAAAGGTTAGGGCATGTAGTTTAGATTCAAATGAAATGAAAAACTATGAAGCATGTGTATTATCCTCGCAAGTACAGTCGTTAAATGTCCACTTTTATGTAAGGTTTGAGGGTGTGGTTTTTCAAGCCTCATTTGCATATTCACCTGTCGCGGCCAACCCGGTATCATGGTGATACGTGAACATGTGACGCTTTACCATTGCTGGGAGACGTGAAGATGTCACGGTTTCGTCTTTTCAAAACGTGAAAAGCGTGACAGCTACACGGTATTGTTAACCCATGTTAACCAGTGGAGAAATACCTGGAAGTGCCAAGCAAATGGTCTTCCGCGCCTATTGGTCGGTTTTTATTGTCAAAATTAGATGTTTTTAATTTATTTTTTAATCCTCACACTCGATTTCGCCGATTTTCTTGTGGCTCTAGCTGGTCGAGACCTCTTTCAGCAGAAACAAAGGCTACGATGTTAATCCATTTGTGTTGTTGTGGAAATAACGGACGTGACGTTGTGTGATCTCTTAGCAACTGAAGTCCGTGAAATATAAACACCACTAAGGTTCAAGGGTCAAGGGTTTTTGTTATCAGATGCTAGCTACAGTGTAATTTTGGCATTTCAAATCTTAGATCCCGAGCTCCTCCAACAGTGCAACATAATATAAATAGGACATAATAAGAAAATAAATAAAGATAAATAAAAAATAGTGCAAAATGCACCACTTTTGGTTCAAATTATGAAACCAGTAGATTCATTCATTTATTTATTTATTTGTGTTACCCCAGCTAAATCGATGTTAATCCATTTATGTGGTTGTGGATTTACTGTACGTTACGTTGTGCGGTCGCGTAGTAAGTGAACACCATGCTACCGATTACTGTCCGGTGACCGTGAACGCACCGGACATCCGCTACAACCTCCTCTCTGTCTGACTTCGCCAAGCAGGTAATGTGCTGCACCGCATGCCTCCAATATTTTTAATGTTTATTGAAAGTAAATCAGTTGTAGTTACATATCTTTTTAAAGCACGAGCTAGCTAAACACATATTAGCTTTACTTGACCGGAGATATAGTGCAGTGATGAGTCCTATAACCCGGAAGTGAGTTCGCATTTTACAACTATTAGTTCCCTCGTCTCAGAGTCAATGGGATTTCTCCATAGGATTTTGGAAAATAGCTCGAAATAAGATCTGTGGAAAACGAACCTGCTTGATAAATGCACGTTTTGTTCAGCCGGATAATCTCCACATATCTACCCTACTTGTATACTTTTCGAATCATAAATCTAATGGCCAGAAGCAAAATGCTAACGTTATGCTATAAACTAACTACAGACCATGGATGTATAATAAGAACCTTTAGAATAATTACCTTTTAGAAGTACACCAAAACATAACTGCTAACAATGTAAATGCTGTGTTGGAAAAAAAGTGAATGTAAGAAAATGTTGAGTTAAATACTTTTGGCACTGTATATACAAATCTTGGAAAAATGCCTATTGTGGCTGTCATACTTGCATACAGTGGCAACTAATAGTATTGTGAAGAAATGTCATGACAACCATCTTCAGACTGTTACTGCACGCTGATTGTTGTGGTCCTATTTAGGACAAAACGTTCAGAGCTGTCCTTGTTCCAGTCCGCCCCTGATTGATTAGTGCTTTAACTCGTAAATTACCCCCAATGTTAAAGCTTGTTGATGATATGTGAGATTGTAAATTGTCATGCATTCTAAAGTGTTCACTGTATTTTTTTCCTTCAACAGATACCAAAGAAATATCAAACAGCACTTTTAAGAGCCTTTTTCAATGTCTTCTCTTCTCCCTCCTCAGAGCTATATTCCCTACATTTCTTCCTGTCTTCTCCCAATTTTTACCATCTTCATCTCTGTCTCTTTACCACTTTCTCTTTTGTATTTATACGCACACACACACACACACACACACACACACACACACACACACACACACACACACACACACACACACACACACACACACACACACACACACACACACACACACACACACACACACACACACACACACACACACACACACACGTAGTGTGCCCACAGGTAAGAACTTACACTTTTCACGACTTATATATTACAATCGACTAACAGTGTCATATATGTATGTCTTTGTTATGCAAAACTTACAGGGAAATAAAAAATGGTCTTATTCGAGCTGGTAACACAGTAGACGACGTTGCAGTGTATTATACTGTAGTACTGCTATAATTCTAGATTATATTATAAAAACAATTTTATATATAGGATTTCAACAGATTAACATTATCATATATTTTTGTCAAATTCAAGATAGTGCTTTTACAGTGCAATGTCATGGTCAAGCTTGTAAGATAGTAGAAGTTGTGTAACCTTACGTTTCGATTACATAATATTTTACCGCTGAATTTTAGCTTTGTACTAAAACTAAGTAAGGGGCCATTATTGCATTGATACTAAATTAATTTACTCAAATTAAATAAAAATGCAAGTGTTTTTATTCTATTCTAAACAGGATACAGTTTTTGTTGTAGCTTGGGGAAGGAATTACAGTCACGGACTAGACAAAGGAAAATTAGTCAATATTTGTATTTGATTGCATTCTGAATTTGAAACCCAGTTTTAAATGACCTTGTCTTTTATTTGTCTTTATCTCCAAAAGAATGCCAGGACCAGGTTCAACTTCGAGGCAATGTTCAAGCTGCTGCATGTCATTCAATGTGGCATGCAAAACTTGCAAGTTCTGCAAGGCGGTGCAGCCCCGCAAACTGCGCCTTAACAAAAAGATGGAGAAGTTTGATACAAAGGCAAACACCTGGGTCCAGGCCCAAAAAAGAAATAAAACTTCATCCCACCTGAGGGATCAAGCTGCATTGGTGGTATGTGATGGACTTTTTTTTTTTGTTGGCCTGCATGCATAATTAATAACAGCCCTGTACTTGTTCATTCTGGATTTTGAAAAAATATTTACATTTGATACAGAAATGTAATATCTGACCATATCTGATCATAATTACGTAATACAAATCTGCTGCTCAAAGCCCTAGGTAGAAATGGGCTTTGAGTTGGTGCACATTATGCAAATGTCATGACCTGCATGAACTGTGTGCCCCAAACAAATGTTGACTATATGTGCATTCAAGTTTTAAAGCACTGTGTCAGAACACAACTAAATACATTTGCACTATTTAATCATTTATCCAATTCAACTTACATTCGAAATAGACATTTTCATCAGTGTGTCTGCTCCCTGTCAATACAACTACTGTAGACACAGGGATAAGTTATGTTTATTTAATTTTGGTGAATCATCGCTGAATTTGATTCAATGTAATTGAAAGGTACGCTGTGTAATAGTGAGGTTTCTAAATTGCAACCAACTGAGGACCTCTCCCTTTATAAGCGTGTACAAAAACCTACAGTGGCCATCCATTGCCATAACAACATGAAAGGCCTTCTCTAGAGCCAGTGTTTTTTTCCTTCCGATTGAAGTACTGTAGTAACACGGCAAAGAGAAGAGAGTGAAATAGACCGGCTCGCTATGTATATATGAAGGGCTTATTCTAAGCTAATCACAACAAAAAATAGTTATAGGTGATTATACACATTAATGGAAACCTAATTATGAATACCATAATCAATTACATTACATTACATTACATTGCATTTAGCTGACGCTTTTATCCAAAGCGACTTACAATAAGTACATTCGACCAGGAAGACACAACCTTGAAGAAAACAGAATCATATAAGTACATCAGGTTTCATAGAGCCAAACATTTCAAGTGCTACTCAACTGGCTTTAGGTAAGCCAGTCCTTTATTAGTATAAAAGTGCTTCGTTAATAGTTCTAACGCTCGAAATGGAGTCGAAAGAGATGAGTTTTCAGTTTGCGCCGGAAGATGTGCAAGCTATCTGCCGTCCTGATGTCAATGGGGAGCTCATTCCACCATCTTGGAGCCAGGACAGCAAACCCACGTGTTTTCGCCGATGGGAACTTGGGTCCCCCTCGCAGCGAGGGCGCAACGAGTCTTTTGGCTGATGCAGAGCGTAGTGCATGTGCTGGGGTGTACGGTTTAACCATGTCCTGGATGTAGGAAGGGCCAGATCCATTCGCAGCATGGTAAGCAATTACCAGTGTCTTGAAGTGGATTCTAGCAGTTACCGGAAGCCAGTGAAGGCAGCGGAGGAGCGGAGTGGTGTGGGAACATTTAGGAAGGTTGAAGACCAGACGAGCCGCTGCATTCTGGATGAGCTGCAGAGGTCGGATGGCACATGCAGGTAGACCAGCCAGGAGGGAGTTGCAGTAGTCTAGGCGTGAGATGACGAGAGCCTGGACCAGAACCTGAGTCGCTTTCTGAGTCAGCTGGGGACGTATCTTCCTGATGTTGTAAAGCGTGTATCTGCAGCAACGGGTTGTAGCAGCGATGTTTGCAGTGAAGGACAGGTTGTTATCTAGGGTCACACCCAGATTCCTTGCAATCTGAGTCGGGGAAACAACTGAGGTGCCGATGTTGATTGTTAGGTCAAGAGTGGGACAATCTTTTCCCGGGAGGAAGAGCAGCTCAGTCTTGTCAAGGTTGAGCTTGAGGTGGTGAGCAGACATCCACTGAGAGATGTCAGCTAGACAAGCAGAGATGCGTGCAACGACCTGGGTCTCTGAGCGGGGAAAGGACAGAATTAATTGGGTGTCGTCAGCGTAGCAGTGGTAAGAAAAACCATGCGGGCTAATGACTGATCCGAGCGAGTTTGTGTACACGGAGAAGAGGAGGGGACCAAGAACAGAGCCCTGAGGGACCCCCGTAGTTAATTGACAAGGGTCGGACTCAGACCCTCTCCAAGTCACCCTGTAGGTACGGTCTTTCAGGTATGAGGTGAGGAGGGAAAGTGCAGAGCCTGAAACTCCAAGTTTTTGGAGAGTGCGAAGGAGGATCTGATGATTCACCGTGTCGAATGCGGCAGACAGGTCCAATAGGATGATGACAGAGGAGAGGGATGCAGTTTTGGCAGTGTGCAGTTCCTCCGTGACAGCAATGAGAGCAGTTTCTGTGGAGTGACCTGCCTTGAAACCAGACTGGTGCGGATCCAGGAGGTTGTTCTGATTGAGATAACAGGAGAGTTGTTTAAAGACAGCGCGTTCAAGTGATTTAGACAGGAACGGGAGGAGAGAGACAGGCCTGTAGTTTATAACATCAGACGGGTTGAGAGTGGGTTTCTTTAGGAGAGGGTTTACTCTTGCCTCCTTGAGACTGTTTGGAAAGTGACCAGAAGTTAGAGAAGTGTTGATGAAATGGGTGAGAAACGGTAGAATATCAGGAGCGATAGTCTGAATTATATCTTATAGAACCCCTATAAATACTCCACAGTGTACTTTAGAGATAGAGATATTATCTCAACATTGTGATTGAGCCTCTGCGCAAATGCAGAACATCTAGTATACTTGTAAGGCATCCAAGTGAATACTCACCTTCTAGTAGTACAATTACCCCAAGCACAAGACTAAAAAAAATACTGCAGGTGATACAAAAATTGCGACGTTTATGTTGTAGAATGGCTCTAAACGTAATCCCACTTAGAATCTATGGCACTGTTCATAAACCACAGTGCTGCTCCACAAACCTAGATGATATATACAGTGTAAATTCCGCCAAGAGAAATGCAATGCAGAATAATGTTCAAAGATTCTACTTGCTGATCGCAACAATCTTAAGGCTGTTAATGCATGCATAAAAGACATTTCTTTGTTATTGCATAGGGGTTGAATATTTGTGCAAGCAGTATATGTGATTTATGTTTAACAACTGGTTTTGCCTTTGTAAATAACCAGGGCATAATTGTTCTGAAATAATGTATATTTTGGTTTGTTGGAAGCTGGAAAAATGTCAGGCCCTTGGAGCCAGAGGCGTCTTGTTCCTAGCCCGGCCTGGAATCAAGAAGGAATGGACCTGCGAAATTATGATGCCAAGGTGCAATGTCAGCACCAATACCTCCACCTGCCTCCGAAAGATGGAGGTCTTATTTGAATTTGTTGCGAAAGGTATTGTTGTCTGTTAAAGTGAATAAAGAAATTAAGTAGGTAGTACTGTAACTTACATTTGTGTAGAATTAACCAATAATGTCATTGGAAATGAAATTAGACACTTAGATTTCGTTTTCTTAATAAAGTTTAGGAGGAGCCCATAGGGGTAATTGACAGCAATTAACTTACACCTCTTCCTTAAATCAAGCATACAAATGGGAGAACTAGTGAATTACATGATGTTGTTGATGCTATCCAAAGCTTATTTTCTTTAATCTAGGTTGGAGTCATACAGAGCCTGCAGCAGCCTCCGAAACCCCACAGCCTCCTGCGGAAAACTCGCCAGCCACATCAAGTAATTGCAGAAGTCTATTGTACCACTCTTTTTATTTTTTTCTGACTATATTCGTTATATGAGGATTTTATAAACAGCCAGGAGCTGACCATTCAAAATGACATTTGTTGAACTGCCTAATGAGACAAATAACGCCTAAGAACTTAATGTCATTACTTTTATTAGCACTTATGAGGACATTCCTATTGGTAGGGTTAGAGACCAATGTGTCCCTTTTCTGTGGTAAAGTTATGTTTGCATGGTGCATTGAGTGGTTGTACTTGATGCAATATAAACTTGTGTTATTTTTGTAAGCTTCAAAGTCATTGTCACTTTTAACAGCAACTTGTATGTTTTACAAATTGTAACCTTTTCTTTTTCAGAAGTTCACATTGCCACGGCAGACACCCCCACCGAGTCCTCTGGTAAGTAGCACACGTCTTCTACTGTATGTGGACATTCCTATTAGTGGGGTTAGAGACCAATGTGTCCATTTTCTGTGGTAAAGTTATGTTTGCATGGTGCATTGAGTGGTTGTACTTGATGCAATATAAACTTGTGTTATTTTTGTAAGCTTCAAAGTCATTGTCACTTTTAACAGCAACTTGTATGTTTTACAAATTATAACCTTTTCTTTTTCAGAAGTTCACATTGCCACGGCAGACACCCCCACCGAGTCCTCTGGTAAGTAGCACACGTCTTCTACTGTATGTGGACATTCCTATTGGTGGGGTTAGAGACCAATGTGTCCCTTTTCTGTGGTAAAGTTATGTTTGCATGGTGCATTGAGTGGTTGTACTTGATGCAATATAAACTTGTGTTATTTTTGTAAGCTTCAAAGTCATTGTCACTTTTAACAGCAACTTGTATGTTTTACAAATTGTAACCTTTTCTTTTTCAGAAGTTCACATTGCCACGGCAGACACCCCCACCGAGTCCTCTGGTAAGTAGCACACGTCTTCTACTGTATGTGGACATTCCTATTGGTGGGGTTAGAGACCAATGTGTCCCTTTTCTGTGGTAAAGTTATGTTTGCATGGTGCATTGAGTGGTTGTACTTGATGCAATATAAACTTGTGTTATTTTTGTAAGCTTCAAAGTCATTGTCACTTTTAACAGCAACTTGTATGTTTTACAAATTGTAACCTTTTCTTTTTCAGAAGTTCACATTGCCACGGCAGACACCCCCACCGAGTCCTCTGGTAAGTAGCACACGTCTTCTACTGTATGTGGACATTCCTATTGGTGGGGTTAGAGACCAATGTGTCCCTTTTCTGTGGTAAAGTTATGTTTGCATGGTGCATTGAGTGGTTGTACTTGATGCAATATAAACTTGTGTTATTTTTGTAAGCTTCAAAGTCATTGTCACTTTTAACAGCAACTTGTATGTTTTACAAATTGTAACCTTTTCTTTTTCAGAAGTTCACATTGCCACGGCAGTAGTGCTGTAGCGACGCGTCGACATCGTCGACGCGTCGACTTCAAAATATCGTCAACGACATATTTCCGCGTCGACGCGTCGCCACCATAGACTGTATGACGCCACACACACGTGGGTCACCCAAAGCAACAAGCAGTTCGCAATCGCACTTCTAACACAATGGCGACTGAAACGGCTACCAACTCCTCCTCACAGGATTGCGCACGAAGCCCTCAAACGAAAACATCTTGCCCCAGGTCTTCAAAAGCATGGGAATATTTTAAAGTTAGTCCAAAACGCAAAGATATTTATATATTTATATCTCACTGAGACTGCTGCTTGACCGGAAGCAGCAGCTAGCTGTGGTGGCAACCATTAGCAGCTAGCATTTGCTCTCCGATTTAAAATGGAATTATGGATTATAAATTCAATAATTTTGTTATACATAGACGTTAAAAACCTATGGATTAACCGATTCAGCCGCGTTTTTTCTCATTTGAATGCCATTGAACACGTATTTTGATCAGATTGACAGCTACGGCGGTGAGACGATCTCCCTAGAAGCTCTGTGAAGGTACGTGTTGTGATGACTGTATTTGCTTCCCCTGTCGCGAGTCCGGATCACTCAGTGATGATACTATGTACCTACATAATCTGTGGAGTCTCAGCTTTAATCGGATATCTTGTATGTGCATCTACGATAAGTAATAAGGGTACTTTTATCTTGAGATCTGTGCCAATGTCCGTTAGCATTTTTTGCTCAGGGGTCATTTAGATGCTTCTTATGAGACTTGTGTTTTGTTTTGGTAAACATGGTTTGTATCGTCAGTTAGCTGAGATTATTTCCGTTAATCTGGTATAACACATTAATAGGTTCTTAAATATTAAGATCCCCTGAGACACAGTATCGTGAAAAAAAATGTTTTTACATTACGTTTTTTTTACATTACGTTTTTTATGAATTGAACAACAGAAAAATAATCGTTCGATTAGTCGACTAATCGATCAAATAATCGCCCGATTAATCGTTTTCAAAATAATCGTTTCCCCCCAGCACTACACGGCAGACACCCCCACCGAGTCCTCTGGTAAGTAGCAGAGCATAGTTCATCGCGAATTCCAGTGAAATAGGAGGTTCTGTACATTGAAGAAGGTGGCGTACATCCATTCTAGTCTTACTACTTCTATGTAGGAAACCTATCCGAGGAGATGTACACCCTGACACTCATCCCTGTCCCAGCTGCAAGCACCTATTCACTCCCTTCACCATCGGCTGCATCCCAGCCAGGGAAGAGGAAGAAGGGTTAGTGTTTTGTTTGTGTGATTCATTACATTTTAAATAATGAGTGTTGAGTGTTATTTGCCCTCTGGCATCATGGTTTATAAAAATAACACTTGTCATTTAAATGCACCTTTCAAGGAACCCAAGGTCATTTTACATATACAACAGAAATACAACACAATTCACAGATATCTTAGGGAAACCGTCTTTCCATAAATAGGGTGTGATTTGTGATAAAGTCATAGCTGGACGCTAACAAAAAATATTATGAAAGTTAAGTCAGTATATCAGGAACTTAAAGGGCAAAAATCATCTATAGCCCACAGAGGTTGTGATGCTATCTATGCCCCAGTCTCTACCGTAACTTACATTTAACTTTCTTACATCTGTCACAGGTTTGCCCACAGAGCGCTCCTCCACTCCAAGAGTTGCTACCTCTGTAGCAAATGGGTGTAGCAGTACCACAGGTGAAGGGATGAAGAAGAGGAATAAGGGTATGTTTTGTTTTTGTGGTACATCCTACTGAACAAATAAATAGCTGTATTCTCCCAAGTCCTTTTGCACACCACAAGTTACGCACATTTCAGACAAGATATCAGATCCAGGTTTCCATAATCCCTCTCTTTTTAATAACCATAAAGGTTTGCTCAATGACTTCTCTTTATTTATAAGGTGGTTAGAAATTATGTTTCATGAAATAAAACAAAAAGGAAGTTGGACACAAATAGGCCACATTGCAGATTACCTAATGTTCTCTTCCTATATGAAAGTCATTAATCAAATATTCTTCTGGAGGATGTTAATAACTTCTTATTTGCACCATTTCAGGCTGCAGAAAATGCTCAAGGCAGCAGATATTCCACTACAATGGAATTAAAGACAGAAGGGTAGAGAAGGTAAGATGTTGAAACTGACAGAGCATGAAGCAGCAATGCATTTACCCGTGGTCGCTGGCTAACACTTGTTTTTGCCTGTCTGTCTGTTTGTGTGTGCCTGTGTGTAGGGAAGAGAAGAGGTAATGGTCTGCTGGCTGCCTTGCACGTCATGGTGAGAACACAGCTCTTTGGTTAGCTTTTTTTAGACTGTGCGTTATAAATAAATGTATTACTTCATAACTAGTTTACTATCAGGCTTCTACAAAACTGACCCTAAGTAATTTGTTGTTTTATGATAACCCATGCATATTAAATTATCTTGTGGCACATGCAATGATCTTATGGTTGTTTTTATTCATTGTGTTTTTCAGTGGGAGAAAATGGGAAGACACCTGGGAGCCTGCCAGTCAATTCAGTCAAGTCAGTGACACAAAAGGACTTTGATCTGCACGTCCGTCAACCAGCAGCTCAATGGGGATCATATGTTTCAAACCACTTTCTCCTCTCGTCCTCTCGTCCTCTCGTTTACGTTCATACCTGTCATCCTTCAGGAGATTGCACTTTGTTTTGATCTAAGAAGTTGATTATGTTAAGGTTTTGGTGTGTGTGTGCGTGCGTGTGTGTGTGTGAAAAAAAAAATCTATTTGTTTTATTAAAACATTTCCCTTTTTGCAACATGGAGTCAAATGCTTCAATATTGTGTCATGAGACACTACTACACCACATTTCAAATAGATATAACCCATCAAATAATACTATAAATATTTAGGGATTGAGATTGTGAAATCTAACAAGTACCTTTATGTTAATCTGAACAATAAACTGGACTGGTCGGATCACTGCTGCTATCTACAAGAAGAGACAGAGCAGACTGTATCTGCTGAGGAGACAGGTATTTTGGAGTGCAGGGGGCACTACTTCAGACCTTCCACCATGACTCTGTGATGGCATAAGCAATCTTTTATGGTCTGGTCAGCTGGGGCTGCAACATCTCGGCTGCTGTCAGGAAAGTTACATGTAGTTTGGTAACAGCACCAGAATGGACAGGGTGTGCAGACACAGGAGAGCCGAGTCAAGGATAAAGGAGCTTTGCATTAATTGTATTTATATTGACCCGAATGGTCTACAGATTGAACGGGACTTTAGTGGCACTAGATCTAGGAGTAGGCAATGTCATTTTTTCACCTAGTTGTATCCCATAAGTGTGCATCTTACTGAGATTAAGGAGGTAAAACGATATTCCTTAGTCCTTGATAAACCAATCGGACAACATGATAATTTCTGTTCCAGTTTGTTCTTAATGGCAACATGACCGCAACACATGCTCTTTGTACCAAAAGGACAAAAATGTAGATCTGAAATACACACCTACATATAACAACAAAACAGTTCGACTTCCTAGCTGACAAAACTCCAACAAAGCAAACACAAAATGTGGTCATTGATCCTCCTGTTGTCTTCGGGTCAAATCTGACCGATTTACTACTTTCATCAATCAAAACTTTTTTGTTTTACATCGATTGCATTAAGGTTTATGATCTCCTTCACAGTAGACATTTGAACATATACAATTGCTGATCAGCACTTTCATTGAATTTTTGATGATTTAGTCAACTTTTTAACAACAATGACCGCTATAAATAAATGGAATTAGTAACCATCCGGATCAGATACAACACACACATACACACTAGATGTGTTTCCCCCCCTTATGTGCCCATCCCCCCATGTGAATCACACCTGGCACACACAAACACATACACACAGAAGTATTCGCTCCGCTATGTTTGACAAACCCCGTGACGAGTCCTCAAGCTCTGTGATTGTGGCAGTGCGCCGTGGGTTACGCCGAGCGTCGAACAGCACTTTTAAATGGGATGGAACCATGGCAGACTATTCAAAACTGGATTAGGATGAGTCCACCCCGTCCCCCCCTCCCCTACCCCGTCCCCAGAACTACACATGCTGGCTATTGTGTGTTTCCAGGGGTGGATCTACCGGGGTGGCATGGGGTGGCAACTGCCACCCTAAACAATAGCCTTGCCACCCCAGCTGCCACCCCAGTTGGCATCTTTGTTTTGAAAGAAAAGTTGTGGCTCATCGGACATTTATGAGAGAAAATCTCTAATGTCCGAGTGCAAGTGAATGCAGCACAAGACGCGAGTCTTGTAACCCCTCCCCCGGCCCTGGAGCGAGACTGGAAATATGATCGAGAAGCATTTCGGACCCAAGTAGACGGAAGGAATGAGGTATTTGCGATCTACAATTACAGAGAAGAGAATGTCAAGTTTGGCTGTACTCAGCATTGAATCAAAACGCACTAAAGCTTTGGATCTTAATACGTTTGTGAGGCGTTTTGCTGAACAACATATTAATCGCCGCATTCAGCTGTAATAGACATGCCAACTTGATGCTCTGCTCACGGATGACTCGATGAGCATAACAAACTATTAAGATGATGACCTTGTATGCGTGTGTATATTTTTTTTCTTTGAGGGGGTCTGCCCCCAAAAAACTGTTTTAAGTCCTGAGAAAGTAAAATCAGACGGTGTGTAAAACTACACTGCCCAGCCAACAGAAAGTAACCACTTTGATTTAACCAGGCCAGTAGACAAGGACTTTCCACTGGATAATAACTTACTGCAGCGATGTATATGTTTTAGCTGAATACACGTTTTTTTTTTTAACCCTAACTGATGCAGTTAGTCACTTTTTTAATATTTGTTCTTTCTGATGTAAAGTTAAGGTTGTAACTGTATATCAATAATGATATAATTACTTGTTTTTCAAATTTGAAGGAGGGTGAGCAAGCATCTTGATGAACATTCATCATTAACTCCTCCAAAAAATATAGTTTATTCAATAATAAATGAATATGTGAATCATAAAAGGGATTGACAGCTGATAGGAATAATATGATTGTTAATAGTATCATATTCATTCAGACAAACATCGATGAGACAGTTAATGAATGTACTTATTGCAGCAGTCTTCATAGATTTGGTACCCCTGCTGGTTTAAGATTGAAACAAACTCATTCAGTTATTGTTCAGTTAAAATTCATTAAATTACGTCTGCCACCTTATATATTTATATGTAAGGCTTTACTGATGTGCCACAATAATATCACCTAATGTCATTGAGTTAAAATATTAATATTGTGGCTTTCCAAGTTAACATTGATTGTAGGGGTGTAACGGTTCACAAACATTTCGGTTCGGTTCGTACCTCGGTTTTTAGGTCACGGTTCGGTTCGGTACGTTTTCGGTACAGCAGAAAAAAGTATCACAAAACATTAAAAAAAATATTTATTTTTTTAATTATTATTAAACTGTGAATATTCACTCAAATAAATACAAAATATAATAAAATAAACATTAAGGTGCAGCATTTCGATGAACTGAAATAATCTGTATTTGAACTGTACTGTACTAGTACCTAAGCAGCCAGCTTGACATTAGGACTTGCTTGTCATTGTATTTTCATGTTTTTTTAAAGAAAAATTAACTTGTCCACATTGCTTGCCGAAAGGGCAGATCTGCTGGCACTAACAATGTCTCCTGCTGTGGAGAACACCCTCTCGCTAGGGACAGAGGTAGCAGATACAGCCAGGTAGCGCTTTGCTAACATGGCAACATAAGGATATTTGGCGTTTGTAATAGCTTTGGCTCGGTCTGAACTTGTTGCGAGTGGTGGAGGCTTAAATGCTAGTGGGAGTTGGGTTTGCACTTCAGTCTTTTTTCTTTTGGTACCGGTGATATTCACGTTTGGGTGATGCCTTTTCAAATGAGTGTGCAAGTTTGATGTATTGCCAGCCGCGTAACCAATGTTAGTTGAACAATCCCGACAAACAGCTTTGGTTCGGTCCACCTGTCTTTGTCCGTCATCCTTGTACGTAACTGCGAAACCAAAATGTTCCCAAACTGGAGACTTCAATGATGCTGGAGGATTTTCGAGCTCAACTTTATCTGCGTTCGCCATTTCCTCAAATTACTGACTACATTTGAACGCATCCCTTTGACCAGCTCTCATAGTATGCCTCTCGTCCAATGAAATGACTTGGTCGCTCTATGATATATATACCTAAGATTACTTCCAGAAAGTTGTTCATGTTCTCAATTTTTTACATTTAACGTTATATTCGTTCGGTACCCTTCGGTTCACACGTGTACCGAACCGAAGGGCCCGTACCGAATAATTTCAGTACGGGTACGTGTACCGTTACACTGCGATTTAAATCAGCATATACTTCTGCCAGGGGATGCCACCCCTCAAAATCTCCTGCCACCCTCTTGCCACCCCATGAATATTTGTCTAGATCCGCCCCTGTGTGTTTCACAACATGTTCAATGGCAGGTCTCTACTGGGAATTGTAGTTTTAAAAGACGTTTTAAGAACATACTAGGAAGTTGCCAGTATTAAAACTGTGTACATCCCTGGAAGTTTAGGGGATAGGAAACACTCAAATGTAAAACATATAATTAACAAATGGGTGAAAATTGCTTGTGTCCATAATGGGCAGCATTAATATATACCCACATGACAGCTAAGGTCAGAAGAGCTTTATTTAACAGCTGGTCTTATGTCTGTGACCCCTCCTGTTGTTAATTGATAAGCCTGAAACATGCACTTGTCAAGGTTCAGAGGCTAATTTTGCAAATATGGCAGTAGCCATCGATCATCTTAAGATAAGATATACTTTATTGATCCCAAGTTGGAAACATTTGCGTTACATTAGCATGTGTAAGAGTTGTAAATCATTTAGTATAATCACACAAATTCTGTGTTTTATATTTAATAATTCTGTGTTCTTTATTTATTGATTGTTCAATACCTGACAAGGCCGGAGATGCAAAACTTTGGTCGCAGGTTCCTCAACAGTGCATCACAAGACATCTTTCAATATGTGTGTATACTCCACCATTAAACTGTCCTATTCTGCACATTTCTTATACTATCTACATACATCTTATAAGAGTATAATACATATGTATAATATCAGTTCAAATAAGTGCTTACACATACAGTAGTTAACATTGCAGGAAAGCAATATTAGTACTTAGTCAGGCTTAATATTTATCTATATAGCCTACCCCCAAAGCTTTTTTCTTATTCAAAAGAAGACCTTAACCTAAAGTGTTCTTTAATGTTTAAATAAAGCTTTATTAGTGTGTCTGTCTGTGTCTCCTATTAATATTTAATAATACAAATAATACAATTCAATAACGTGGTTTAACCACTAGGTGTCCCTTTCTATCAGCTGTGCACCTTTATGGTGTAAATACAGCCTATCTACCAATTCGATCAAATATAAAAGTCAGCCGAATTAGTGTTGATACTGCAAGGAGACGTATATTGTGAAGATAAATTTAAGATGTTGTTTAATTGCTGACATATTTATGATCCACGTCACATATTCAGTTTTGGCGGCAGTTATTCCTGTTTGTCTAGAAGTCTTCTCATCAGGGCTCTATAAATAGAGAATTACGGCAGATATGTAATATTGAATGCAGCCGAACCGTGTATTACAATGCCGTTATGTGATGACCTCCAAAGACAAAAGCAAGCACACTCGGAATAAAGTATTATTTTTATTTGTTTTAATGTTTTCGGATTTCACATCAACAGGAAGTCCGGTTAACTAAAATGTCCGTGCGGAACAATAGATCCGTGGGTGAATAATGTCAATCACCCATAGCAATCACCACATTACACACATTTTAATTTACATTAAAGTATTTCGTGAGACCTTCTAAAATGTTTTTAAATATAATTATATATAATATAATTAATATGTTAGCTTATTCTGTGGTATGCATCCGTTTTTGTTTAGATGCTATGCCTCTTTAGCTGTAACAAGCGGAAATGTCCCCGCTGTGGGACTAATAAAGGATTTCTGATTCTGATATGAGCCAGTTGAGGTGTTGCACAGGGTGTCAGAACTTGGACACACTTGTATGTGTTCTTATATGTAGCTGAATGCTGTTGTAATGGTACATTCAGAGGGTGTGACAAACATTGAGACTCCTGTGACAAGCTGGTTGATGGAAAATGAGTTTATTTTAATACAATTAGTTATGAGAAACATTAATAAGACAAGATATGAGCCAGTTCAGATGTTGCAAATGGGTGTCAGAACTTGGACACAGCTTACATTGCCTCTTATATGTAGACGAATGCTGTTTTAATGTTACATTCCTAGTGTGAGAAACATGACAATAAATGTATTTTGTGAACTTGTGTACCTGTTTTACTTTAAGAAAGCCAGGCGAATACCTGTCGGACTATGGGTATTGGATAACATCTGTCCAGTTGGACGGAAGTGGGCTAAAATAGTATTTATTTAATCAGATAACAGATATGTGAACATCAACAAAGAAATGAGTGAGTTGACACGTAAACCATGGTTTGTGAACTTCAATTCATATAGAATTTTAATTGTGTGTGTTTTTCTGCGCATATTTATCCCAGTTCACAAAGGGTAAACAACACACAAGTTCCAGGCCAATCGTTACAGAGTTTTCAAAACAGAAGTGATGTAGCCAATCAGAATGCAGATCCTGCAGCACCGGAGGCAGGCTCTACTGCACTCGCAATGTGACAGTGAAGGGAGAGTTCTGCTTCTGAAGATAATATCTAAGATAAAACCGTAATAACTCAATATAATGTTTTCAACCCTAAACGGCAACACTTTGTAGTTGTAGGTAGGTGTGTGTATGAGTGTGAGAGAGGGCCTGCTCACGGAAAGCTGGTTGCTGACACAGAAGGACTCCCGAATAGGTGAATTGTGGTAAAGAAATAAAAAATAGAGAAAGTGCATCTCTGTCAGCAGAGCTTCTGTCAGTCAGAGGGTTAGGTAAAGGTTGAGATAGTTATCATGTGAGGAGAATTAACTAAAATACAATACATAGCAATATTTGAACCAACCTTAGTCATGGGTTTGTTTTAAATACATACGTTTACCTCACAAGCCACATTTTTAAGGATTGTTCAAGGCAATTCATTCCAGAATGTTCACTTAGTTCAAAGAAGCAACATGCATAGTAAGATAACAACTTTTTTTCACATTATTTGAAGTGAGAGGTTGTGTGTGCGAGTGCACACAATGTTATTGGTTGACGATAACTGGCCTCTGGTCTTAATACTGGTAGGAGAGGTTAAGTACATTTCAGTCAATATCATGGTGTGTGACATTAACAAGAATTCTGACTGAGCAGAGGTATGTGTGTCTGTGAGGGAGGGCGTGTCCGAGTGTGTGGGTCAATGATTGTAAATGTTTAGATGTTCATGTTCTATGTGTGAGAGAGAGTGGCACACAGAGGAAGAGACTGAGGGAGCACACAGAAAGGAGAGAGAGAGGTGGGGGGGACATACACCCAGCATGTGTGCCTATGTGTATGATGTGGCTCTTTGCAGTAACGCAGGGAAATTATTGGCTCTCAACCTCTAACTGGTTGGCCACCCCTGCTGTACACCCTAGTGTCCTTCAGGGTAGGGTGGGGGAGAGAGGCGCTGTGCCCCAGCGTCCTTTCCTCAAGGAGGGGGTAGGGTGGGGGAGAGAGGCGCTGTGCTCCAGCGTCCTTTCCTCAAGGTGGGGGTAGGGTGGGGGAGAGAGGCGCTGTGCCCCAGCGTCCTTTCCTCAAGGAGGGGGTAGGGTAGGGGAGAGAGGCGCTGTGCTCCAGCGTCCTTTCCTCAAGGTGGGGGTAGGGTAGGGGAGAGAGGCGCTGTGCCCCAGCGTCCTTTCCTCAAGGAGGGGGTAGGGTAGGAGAGAGAGGCGCTGTGCTCCAGCGTCCTTTCCTCAAGGTGGGGGTAGGGTGGGGGAGAGAGGCGCTGTGCCCCAGTGTCCTTTCCTCAAGGAGGGGGTAGGGGAGAGAGGCGCTGTGCTCCAGCGTCCTTTCCTCAAGGTGGGGGTAGGGTGGGGGAGAGAGGCGCTGTGCCCCAGCGTCCTTTCCTCAAGGAGGGGGTAGGGTGGGGGAGAGAGGCGCTGTGCCCCAGTGTCCTTTCCTCAAGGAGGGGGTAGGGTAGGGGAGAGAGGCGCTGTGCTCCAGCGTCCTTTCCTCAAGGTGGGGGTAGGGTGGGGGAGAGAGGCGCTGTGCCCCAGCGTCCTTTCCTGAAGGAGGGGGTAGGGTGGGGGAGAGAGGCGCTAGGGTGTGTGTGATGTCCTCATCAGGGTCTTCCTCACTGTCATCACTGATGTCACTGTCTTGGTCATGGTTCTCCACAGAGTCATCAGGCCATTGAGGGGCATTTGGTCCGTTTGCCAGGCTGTAGGCCGAAGAAAGATGCTGGATGTGTGTGTCCAGGTCAGCAAGTATTTTCTTTAGAAGACGAGCTAATCCATCTCTCCCTTCTTGAGTCATGTCTAGGGCAGAACATAGAGAATAGAATAGTGAAAAGGCATCTCATTTTTGTTACTAGTACACACTGTGGATGTTAAGTAGTATTTGGGTATGGTATCATGGAATTTACCACTATGTCCTCCACATGACACATGTTGCATCTGCATCCTGATCTTGTCAGCCTGACTTCTCAGATAAAGGCAGTGCTGCCTCATCTCCCTCACAATTATGGCCCTCTCCTCCACAAGTCTCCTTTTGCCCATGTAGGCATCGAAGACTTTTTTTTGGGCCAAAATGGACACCGATTCTGAAGAGAGAGGAACAGCAAGCATACCATTACCGACCAAGACATGCACCAGTAGGATAAGTGACCGGTCATAGTCCATTGACTGGGAAGCTGGTGTTATAGGTCTTGCTTAGTGCCAGAAAATAAACATATTATATAAACACAAACAAGAGAAGCTCTTACCATCACTTTGCACTTCCCATGGCCATATTAGACTGTCTGTTGTTTGCTGTTCTGCAGACAGTCTTCTCTCCACCTCTTCTTCTTGGATTTCTGTTTCAGGAGGCTGTCCGGTGTTGTACTGGCGTATTGCCGCTAAGAGTTTGGTCTTTTCCTCCCTTAACCTTTTGCGACGCAACTGCCGAATCTTATTGCTGTCTATATGACGTAATTGTAAAAAACATTACAGAAACAATGTTCAATGGAATTTTTTTAATTACATGAATGCAACTGAATAATAATAACTTACCAGTCTGTCTATAGAGGCAAGCTTTCTTTTGGCACAGCCCTAGAAATAGCTGCTCAATGGACCTCTGGAGAGACTGATTGTCACCTGATGTGTTGTCTTGGGTAAATAACAAGAAACACAGTTTGAGAACAAAGAAAACATTGGTGTTAATACTATACGTTAAATAACAATGTTATATTATCAAGTTAGGAAACAGCATACCGTTTGTTGCCCAGTCTCTAACATAATTAACCCATTGTTGGACTTTGTCCTCAGGGCATCCAAGCTCTTCGCAGGTGTCCTTCATTTTTTGAGTCTCACCCTCCAACATTGTGATTCTGTTGTAAAAAAGATGTTGCAGATACAGATGTATTTTCAAGATTTTCACCCAAATTTCCATAACTTTTCATGTCTTGAAAACAGTAATTAATCATTCAAACTTTTCCAGACCTGCGCAAGCACTCAGTATCCAACACTTTACCAGCTTGGACAATTATTTGTTTGTGACAGGTTTGCACATTAGCCTTACAAATCTAATCTTGTCATGCCTATGCTTACATGGCCAATTACCTTGACATATCTCTTGGCCAACACCACATGAAGGTTTTCCTGCTTCCGTCTGTTCCATCCCATTGCATGGACAGTCAACATGTCATTGCGAGCTGTTTTTAAAAGTAAAATTGACAAGCAGATAATATAACTTGGGTATTTGGAAATAAACTCATAAAAACTCTAGTACAGTTGAAACAGACTACATCAAAGACAAAGATAAAGTAAAGTAAGAGATGGATAATAACTTCAAGACAGAATTATGTTGGTCTAATGACAAGAGGACATACCTGATTTTGTCATGTATTTAGTTGTGATGGCACAACGTGACAGAAAGCTGTTCACCATCTCCACTTCTTCCCCGGCCGTCGAACCAGCACCCTCCAAATTTCTCCCACTCCATACAATCTAACAAGTACACATATATTATATGTCATAGATGAATTAAAAAAAATTCTTACAATCACAATAATATAAGAGTGGGCCTACCTCACACTTTGTGGAATGGGCCTTGGCATGCATGACCGAGAGAAACGGTTGCATGCTCAGCAAAGGTCGCAGTTCTGGCATTGTCTTTGCCACTTTCTCGAGGTAGGGCCAGTATTTACAAGCAATATCTGTGCAATAAAAATGCACGTTTGTAGCTTGAAACTGCGTTTGAAGGAACAAGGGGTAGGCAAATATTTCTCCTCTGAACATGTTGAGAGCTTTCAGTAGCACTCCATGTCTACATACAGCCACCTCTAACCCCTCTTCATCAAGCCTGCTGGCTCTTCTTGCTGTCTCTCGAGTAGCTGACCACTGGCTGGTACCACATGTACCTTTTCCTGGGGTCTACAATTAAAGACATTTTAATGTTACACTCTCAAAACAAGTAAAGGCTAGAAAAATGATAGGAAAAAAAATGCTGTGCTTACACATTTTACATTTGTTCTGACTTTGTCAACAAAGTCTGTGACAGCCGAGTCTTCCATGATGAACGGCCCTTTAAAAAGTGGTTCATCGATCCTAAATTCAAAAATAAATATTCAATTCATTATTATCATCATTGATAGACTACTTCTTAAATTCAATTGACATACAAAAAAGATGTACCTCTGTGACAGTCGGAAACGGTACTGTTTCCTATTCCCATCCACTGACACAGCCAACATTTTGGGAGTACAAGCTGGGCATGAGAAGAGTTCCTCACACGTCATTTTCTGGCACTCGTACTGGCAGGCCATATACTCCAGAAAGCTTCTTTGGAAGACATCTCCATGGATTTTTCCTGTCTGGAAGTTTGAGAAGCAAAATTGTTACCTTACACATGTCAGAATAATACGAGGAAACAGGAAGACTTTCACAGTGGTTGGAGGCAAGAGGGGGGCTATTAGGAGTATCCCTAACACACGATATCCTGAAAAGTGAAGGTCAGGTTAGGATTGGCAGATGCTGGAAGAGAAGGAACATTATTTCAGCTTTTGTCATATGCACCATGACTCTATACAGTACAGTACAATACAGAATCCCATTTTTTCCCACAGAAGAGCACAATGTTTTTCATCATACAAATTGTGTTCTTCAGTAAAGAACAAAAGTTGGATTATGATATGTTTGATCTTACAGTATGTCCTACATCTACCAGTGCTAGGTTTTTAGCCCTAATGTTACACTAGTTAAACTACTTTCAGTAACATTGTAAGCTTTTTTTAGTTATTTTGACATAAACATATTTCCAATCAACATATTTCATCTACACAAAATAAAATGCATCCTTTCACAATGCCCTCTACTTATGCAATACTTAGTGAAAGTCATCTTACCCTCCCATAATGCTGTGTCCTCCGTTCCAGCATCTGTAAAAAGGCCTGTCTGGACAAACCTGGTGCCACAGTCTTCAGGTCCTCAAAAGATTTGAAGACATCCGTGGAATATAATGTGTCTCCGTTCACAGAAGCTGGCCAGTAACCGCTTCTAATGAGGTCTCCCCAATCAGGTGTCCATTCGTAATGGCATGTGTTGCACACCCTCTTGGGGAGATGCAAATCATAACGCCCTAATAACAAACACAGTTTAGTAAAAACAATCGCATTCATTACCTGTATTAGGGTGACAAAAAGAACACTTAAAATCATACCATTAATGCAGACGAAAATGACAGGCCTGCCTATAGACTCGGTAACACCTTCAGGGTTACACGAGTGTGAAGGCCTACCAGTGGGCAGAAGACGATCTGTGAAGAGAGGTTAAAAATATGTCTTAAACTACCAGCACATTAGGAAAGTTATAAAATAACCACTTGGGGCTAAATTGTGTTAAGTGAAATACCTTGGTGTCTCAAAGTGAACATGTCATTTGTCTTGAATAGTGACATTGTTGGGGGAATACATTTGAAATATCCTTCATTGAAGGACTCCCTGTTATGAAGGGTGTGTATGCTGTGTTTAGAAATGTCACAGTCATGACACAACCATTCAAGGGGCATGCATTCTCTGCAGCGAAGGACCGCAGGAGCGGAGCAATGTGAGCATCTCCTTTCCGGTACCATAGTTGAAGAGAGCAAGCTGTCCAAGTGATGGGACCTTGCCTTTTGCCACTCTAATTGGGCAGCACTTTGGCGCAGGCACCATGAGGAAGAGGTTGATGGTTGATCAACCAAAAGCTCCTGTAATTGCTGAATCTCATCTTCTGGAAACAAACAAAAAAGAAAATGTTCAGCATCACAACAGCGTACTCATATTGCATCACGTATTCGTTTGATGTTATGTTGACACATTTCCTAACTTTCAATGATAGTAAATGTCATCCTACCAAAAAGCTGAGGGGGTACTGCAGAGGTTGCTCCAGCTGGTTCCACAGTCACTGGACTGTTAATGGCAACAGTTCTGGCTGAAAAATAATAATTATAATAATAAGATATATTGATAACAGATAATAATTACAGAGAACAGAACTATTTATTACAATGGCCTATTTTTATACGTACAACGGAATAACAGATATTTGTTCAATACCTCTCTAAGCTGAAACATGCTGTACCAATCATGTTGCGAACAATCAAAACAAAAATGATATGTTAATCATGAATACCTGTATACATGCACAAACCTTTAGTACGTCGGCAGGTTGCCCCACTTCTGTCCCTCCTTTTTAGAGGACACCCCTGAACATCTTTGCCTACCCAGCGGATTCTGCTCCAGCTAGATGCTGCTCTGGCCCTGTCTTCTTCCTCCTTCAATAAAGTAGTCATGCATGCTACTCTGGCCCTGTCTTCTTCCTCCTTCAATAAAGTAGTCATGCATTACCACAACAAGCTGCTTTTCATTCCCAGTGTATTCCTATTCACTTACAAGCATTACAAAATTACAAGCACATAATCAATCAACCTAATCAGTACATCGGGCACAAAACCAATACAATTGAAATTAAAAAATGTACCTTCAGTTGTTTACAAAGTAAATCGGCATGGAAAATGGCGTCTTCTAGCTGTTCCTCGCTTGGTTTAGCTTTCTTTTCTTCTTCTTTTCTATTTCTTTTTTGGGCCTGGACCCAGGTGTTTGCCTTTGTATCAAACTTCTCCATCTTTTTGTTAAGGCGCAGTTTGCGGGGCTGCACCGCCTTGCAGAACTTGCAAGTTTTGCATGCCACATTGAATGACATGCAGCAGCTTGAACATTGCCTCGAAGTTGAACCTGGTCCTGGCATTCTTTTGGAGATAAAGACAAATAAAAGACAAGGTCATTTAAAACTGGGTTTCAAATTCAGAATGCAATCAAATACAAATATTGACTAATTTTCCTTTGTCTAGTCCGTGACTGTAATTCCTTCCCCAAGCTACAACAAAAACTGTATCCTGTTTAGAATAGAATAAAAACACTTGCATTTTTATTTAATTTGAGTAAATTAATTTAGTATCAATGCAATAATGGCCCCTTACTTAGTTTTAGTACAAAGCTAAAATTCAGCGGTAAAATATTATGTAATCGAAACGTAAGGTTACACAACTTCTACTATCTTACAAGCTTGACCATGACATTGCACTGTAAAAGCACTATCTTGAATTTGACAAAAATATATGATAATGTTAATCTGTTGAAATCCTATATATAAAATTGTTTTTATAATATAATCTAGAATTATAGCAGTACTACAGTATAATACACTGCAACGTCGTCTACTGTGTTACCAGCTCGAATAAGACCATTTTTTATTTCCCTGTAAGTTTTGCATAACAAAGACATAAATATATGACACTGTTAGTCGATTGTAATATATAAGTCGTGAAAAGTGTAAGTTCTTACCTGTGGGCACACTACGTGTGTGTGTGTGTGTGTGTGTGTGTGTGTGTGTGTGTGTGTGTGTGTGTGTGTGTGTGTGTGTGTGTGTGTGTGTGTGTGTGTGTGTGTGTGTGTGTGTGTGTGTGTGTGTGTGTGTGTGTGTGTGCGTATAAATACAAAAGAGAAAGTGGTAAAGAGACAGAGATGAAGATGGTAAAAATTGGGAGAAGACAGGAAGAAATGTAGGGAATATAGCTCTGAGGAGGGAGAAGAGAAGACATTGAAAAAGGCTCTTAAAAGTGCTGTTTGATATTTCTTTGGTATCTGTTGAAGGAAAAAAATACAGTGAACACTTTAGAATGCATGACAATTTACAATCTCACATATCATCAACAAGCTTTAACATTGGGGGTAATTTACGAGTTAAAGCACTAATCAATCAGGGGCGGACTGGAACAAGGACAGCTCTGAACGTTTTGTCCTAAATAGGACCACAACAATCAGCGTGCAGTAACAGTCTGAAGATGGTTGTCATGACATTTCTTCACAATACTATTAGTTGCCACTGTATGCAAGTATGACAGCCACAATAGGCATTTTTCCAAGATTTGTATATACAGTGCCAAAAGTATTTAACTCAACATTTTCTTACATTCACTTTTTTTCCAACACAGCATTTACATTGTTAGCAGTTATGTTTTGGTGTACTTCTAAAAGGTAATTATTCTAAAGGTTCTTATTATACATCCATGGTCTGTAGTTAGTTTATAGCATAACGTTAGCATTTTGCTTCTGGCCATTAGATTTATGATTCGAAAAGTATACAAGTAGGGTAGATATGTGGAGATTATCCGGCTGAACAAAACGTGCATTTATCAAGCAGGTTCGTTTTCCACAGATCTTATTTCGAGCTATTTTCCAAAATCCTATGGAGAAATCCCATTGACTCTGAGACGAGGGAACTAATAGTTGTAAAATGCGAACTCACTTCCGGGTTATAGGACTCATCACTGCACTATATCTCCGGTCAAGTAAAGCTAATATGTGTTTAGCTAGCTCGTGCTTTAAAAAGATATGTAACTACAACTGATTTACTTGCAATAAACATTAAAAATATTGGAGGCATGCGGTGCAGCACATTACCTGCTTGGCGAAGTCAGACAGAGAGGAGGTTGTAGCGGATGTCCGGTGCGTTCACGGTCACCGGACAGTAATCGGTAGCATGGTGTTCACTTACTACGCGACCGCACAACGTAACGTACAGTAAATCCACAACCACATAAATGGATTAACATCGATTTAGCTGGGGTAACACAAATAAATAAATAAATGAATGAATCTACTGGTTTCATAATTTGAACCAAAAGTGGTGCATTTTGCACTATTTTTTATTTATCTTTATTTATTTTCTTATTATGTCCTATTTATATTATGTTGCACTGTTGGAGGAGCTCGGGATCTAAGATTTGAAATGCCAAAATTACACTGTAGCTAGCATCTGATAACAAAAACCCTTGACCCTTGAACCTTAGTGGTGTTTATATTTCACGGACTTCAGTTGCTAAGAGATCACACAACGTCACGTCCGTTATTTCCACAACAACACAAATGGATTAACATCGTAGCCTTTGTTTCTGCTGAAAGAGGTCTCGACCAGCTAGAGCCACAAGAAAATCGGCGAAATCGAGTGTGAGGATTACAAAATAAATTAAAAACATCTAATTTTGACAATAAAAACCAACCAATAGGCGCGGAAGACCATTTGCTTGGCACTTCCGGGTATTTCTCCACTGGTTAACATGGGTTAACAATACCGTGTAGCTGTCACGCTTTTCACGTTTTGAAAAGATGAAACCGTGACATCTTCACGTCTCCCAGCAATGGTAAAGCGTCACAGGTTCACGTCTCACCGTGATACCGGGTTGGGTATAACATACCTACGGAAGCAGCCTTTTTTGAGTGGATAAAGAAAGCAAAACTCCCCGACATATCCCCGACTAGCAAGTTAAGGCTTCATATGTTTAGAGCTGGTTACTATAGTAGCATAACTCAGCTCATAGAGGAACTTGAGTCCTGCTTCAAAAAAATTGACTGATGTCAGTTTACACTATAGTCCAATTCACAGGAAAATCGAATTTCTAGGAGGGGCCCAATATCGTTTCCGCTTTCCAAAAACCGTCGCTTATATGCTTGGAATACAACCAGACCAGTGGCTCAAATTTGATGATAAATCAGCAGCCTATCCAGCGGATATAAAGGCTGGCTCAACACATCTATACTGCTATAGCAATGTGGTCAGTCACCAGCGGGTAGGTGACGCTTTTGCTCCTCTCTTGAGAACCGTAGATATAAGAGGAACATTCGGCGATACAGTAACTCAGTATTTTAATCCTGCATACTACTTGCCGGTAACAAAAACACACATCGAGAATATAAAGGTAGAAATAAAAAACGACCAGAACAAACCAGTAAAGTTCACCTACGGAAAAAGTGTAGTGAAACTTCATTTCCGACCCTCAAAAGCAGGGCAATCTTTTACAAAACGATGATTCATCAAGACCCCCAACGTTTGGTGAGTTACTATGAAAATCAAGCGGGGGGATCCCTGCCTGGTTTTTATGGTGCACCGGTGATGTACGGGCGAGGCATTGGCTCTATATTTTCGAGATTATTTCGTTTTGTCGCCCCCCTGGTGAGAAAAGGGTTCGCCATAGCTAAACCTCATCTGAAATCGGCGGCCAAAAATATTGCATCAGATGTTATCAGTAAGGCTGTCCATAAATTCGGCCGCCAATCAGACCCCGGATCTCAAGAAGGATCAGGTGGTCTGATGGTTTTGGCAAGAAGGGCCAGGAAGAGACCTCCAGGCAAACGGGTTCCGAGGGGTGTCAAGAAAGGAAAACACTCAGTCAAAAGAAAATCATTGGGGAAAAAACACCCTCGGAGAAGGAACGTATTGGGGAGAGATATATTTTAGAGTGTTAAATATGGCTCTTTTACATCATAAATCTGCTGAATGCAGCATGGCAGAGCTGGATTTATTTTGAGCCCCAATGACGCAACTTTCTATAGATGAAAAACACTACACAGAGGTCCTTCCGTTGTCTGCCATTACGGAGGACGGACCCATAGAATTTTGTATCCCCGGGGACGGAGATAAATACCTGGATATGAATGACACCTTGATACATCTCAGGATCAAAATAACCAACGCAGATGGGACTAATCTGGCAGCTGATGCCTCCGTGGCCCTAGTTAATTACCCTCTGAATACAATTTTTAGTCAATGCGACGTTATTCTAGGGGACAGACTAATTTCTCAATCCAGTTCGACTCATCCTTACAGGGCGATGATTGAAACGCTATTGAATTACTCTGATTCTACTTTAAAAACTCAGTTCACAGCCGGCTTATTTTATAAAGACACCGCGGGATCTATGGACTCTATAGTCATAGCCAATGGACCAAATAAGGGACTGGTAAAGAGGGCCTCATTCACAGCAGAATCTCGGGAGCTTCACTTGATGGGTGCTTTACACACGGATATATTTTTCAGTGAGAGGCTTCTCCTGAACTCTGTAGATTTGAGAATCAAACTCACCAGATCTAACGATGCCTTTACTCTCATGTTTGCAAATGACTCTACATACCGTCTAAAAATACTGGGGGCTTCACTTTTTATCAAAAAGGCCACAATCACGCCTGCAGTGCGTTTAGGTCATGCTGCGGCTCTGCTGAGAGGTAACGCCCTCTACCCCCTATCACGGGTGAATCTCAAGACATATAGTATACCGGTGAATTCTAGAATATGCAACCAAGAAAATCTCTTTTTGGGTAATATGCCCAAGTACATAGTATTGGGTATGGTAAATCACGAAGCCTTCACCGGAAGGAGAGAGCTTTCACCTTTTAATTTCCTTCATAATGATATGGAATACCTTGCTCTGTGTCAGAATGGCAGGCAAGTACCGGCCAAAGCATTTCAACCCCAATTTAACCGGGGGTCGTCAGTCAGAGAGTTTTACAACATGTTAACTGCTACAAGGAGACACATGAAAGACTTACCTCTAAGTATAGACAGAGATGATTTCGAACAAGGATACTCATTATTTGTGTTTAATTTAACGGCGGCGGAAGACGCCGACGCCTTATCTCCCATCACAAGCGGTAGTTTAAGATTGGAAATGAGGTTCAGAGTACCGCTGCCACAGACTACCACTTTAATCGTATATTCTTGTTTTGATTAGATTCTGGAGATTAATTCAAAACGACAAGTGCTGGTAGATTATTACTAAGAAGACTACAACATGAATAATCACCAATTGGATAGTCTCCTGCAGCATATGGTGGGGGACTCTTTTGGGGGGGTATGGGCCTCAGACCAGCTACCCCGAGTAAAACAATTATTTAGATGCCCTGTATACATGATTGTAAACACCCACCTCTCCCACATGCCCGGAGAACACTGGCTAGCAGTGACTTTAGAGGAAGGGGAAGGAACTTTTTTTGATTCTTTCGGATTTCCCCCCGATTTTAGTCATTATCCTAAAAGCATCCTGCAATTTCTAGAAACACAATGTGAAACTATTTGATACCATAACCGGCAACTTCAGAATGTCATGTCTACAGCCTGTGGTCAACACTGTGTTTTTTATCTATGCAAAAGAGCGTCCGGGTTGTCTTACGAAAATGTGTTATCTTTATATCAAGATGATGTGGTAAAAAATGATGCAGCTGTAACGAATTTTGTGAAAAAATACCAAAGGTGTGAGAGACGTCATAAAGACACTCATTTTAACCACAGTGTTTGTTCGCTACAAATGTTCAAAGATTGTTATAAAATGTAGAAATAAAAAAAGGTCTGAAGACAAAATTAATTCAGATGACTGTCTTTATTAGGAAATCATGAAATATAATACAACTTTAAGGGGTTAAATGTAACCATCTTGGACTTAATATTCTGTGTTGCCTTATCCTTTTCTTCTTAAGCAGGGCATTCTGAGGTTCTACGGCTGTTCCTAAAGTGTCCCAACCGGGGGTAGTGGGAGATGTTTTTATTTTTCTTCTTCTTTTTCGGGGGATATTTTCTCGATTTAGTTCGCCCTCTTTGATTATGCGATATTGTTCACGAGCGTGAAGGTTTTGAAAAGCTGTTAAGGGAATGTTGATCTCATTCAGACTATTTAAAAACCCCCGCCAGCCTTTAGGCTCCTGGACATTTGTTTTATACGCGCAGGATAAATGTTTAAATAAATCTAACATGTGGGAACCTTTTACAGCTACCCCCTTTTCTATAAATTCCTCCGCTGGTGTCCATCCAGCTGTACTCGTGGTTAATTTACTCATAATGTACTCGGCATTCTTGTGGTAACGCTTAGGGAGGTGTTGAAGCACATCGTTCTTTATTTTATCATCGGACGTGCCATCCTTTTCTTCTCCTTTTACCACCCCGTGTCTTCAGGTAGAGTTAGAGTAATATGTCGTTCCTCAAGCCCGTCTTGTTTGAGTAAGGTGAGATATCTTTGTAACAAGGTGTTGTATTTTATGATTTTTTCATAAGGGGGTAATCCTGGTTCGTTTAGCGTTGCTCTCATTTTTTCATCCAGAACATCTTCGGCAATGCGTCTAATTGTTTCCTTACTATGAGGGTTAGTTACACCATTCTGATTGAGCTGATTAAACTGGTGAGGTGATAGCAGAAACATCTTTTGACTCATGATCGAGCGAGCCCTCCTAAAAGTTGACCTAAAATGGGGATCACCGCACCGAGCAGCGGCAGAAGAAAACCTCCAGATTGCTTTCTTAAGGCCTTGAATTTAGTTTTTAAGTTGGTCTTTTTATTGGCCAAGAGTTTGAAAAATTTATTTTGCTTCTTAAGCTTCTTATACTGAATGCCTGACAGGGGGATATTACCTTTTAAAAGATTTAGAGACAGTTCACAGAGTGATTGAAGAAAATCCGTGGAGCAGTTCTCGAGAATATCCTTGCGCTTTGAAGGCGGGGCTTGACATAAGGCCCTCAGCAGAGGCATGTTTCTTTTTAAACGGGCCGACATACTGTTTTTTCAAGTCTTCGTTTTTGGTACATAAACAACTAGCCATTGATTAGGTAGTGCTCCCGATCTAAGCCTGTAGATGTCTGGACAGGTGGGGGTCATGTCTACGATTAAATAACCATGAGGTTCCGTGGTGGCGTCTTCAAAACTTTGTAGGAAAAATGATTTATTACCAGGGTGTATTTGTTGAGCAAGTATGTTCATTTGTAATCTGTCTCTGGGGTTTTTAAACAAGACCATGTAAGTAGTATTTAAACTAATTGTGCGACTGTTTTTTCCCTGGTGAAAAACATTTTGGGTAAGCATGATAACGCTCATGTTTCTATGATGACGGTATTGGGTGAAAAGTCTGACTACTTCCGGATGCTCAGAGGCCTGAAATATAACATCGTCTAATATAATCAAATTACTTTGATCAGGAGGAAATAGCGATTCATCTTCAAATGATTCAGGCAGACCCTTGACGAACTTCATATTTTTATTATTTTCCTGCAGTTCAGCATACATGGGTTGGAAAGAAGACAATCCACACAATATTTTGAGGCTGGACATCCATTACATGAATACAATTTTGCAATACATTCTTGACAAAAAAAGTTTTTCCACACCCACTAGGGCCCACTACTAGACAGGAAAAAGGAACACGCAGCCGGGGGTCAAAATCAATTTGACTTGGTGAAAACATGTGGTCTCTTTTTCAATTATTTTCTCAATACCCAAAAGGCAAAGTATTTCCCCCGGCTAACAAACGTCTCTTGTCAAACACAACTCGGAACTTTTTGGTGAATGACACATTTCTCAAAGCGAAAACCTCTTTATTCCTTACAATGCTGTGCTGTGGGACCTCAATTACCCTCCCCCTCTCAGAGTTTTGAACGTAGCCCTCCACCAGGTCGGCCAGACTGTCAAAGTTCACTCGTTCGCAACATTCGTGCGTTTGTGTGATGCCTTTCACACGCATCACAACTTTTTTTTGATTTTTGGTCTGATAAGCATAACTTTTAGGGCCTGCTGAAACAAACTCTTTAATCATATCGCCCCCCAGCTCGTCTGTCAGGTCTCCCAGATAGACCCCCATCGGTAGGGGACTCTCTCCTTGTCTTGTCACATAGATTATGCTATCTGTGTCATAGTAGAATACTCTGCGCTGTAATTTCTCCAATTCACTGTACAGTTTCAGCCTGGCATACGCTGTGGTAAAGGCGGCGATGAATATGTTATCCACCTTGTTGGGAGTAGAGTAACAATTTTCACCGTAGCACCACTGAACAAGAGCCGTTCGGTCATTGAGGAATGAGAAATACTTAACCTTATGTTTAGCTGAAAACAAGAGGTTAAGAAATTCTTCGGTTTTGGTCACAATCTTAGTCTGAGTCAGATTGCTTCTCTGGGCAAATTTACCCCAGAAACTGTTGAGACATAGTTTTGCCACTTGTCTTTTGGCTGGATTTGATTTGATTGTATCTGCATCCAGCAAGATGCCCTGCTTAGCATGATAGTCTGCCACATACTTTTGTCTGCTCTCATCATCTGAGGCCTCTGAAGGGTAGCCGGATGCTTCTTGTTTACCCTTCAAAAATGTGTGTATATAGTCTACAAAAATGCTGTCACTTTTCTTCTCAAAATGCCACACCTCTGTGATCTGAGTCATCTTGTACCCCATGTCCAGGGCTTTGGTGAATTCTGGGGTCACCCAAACCCCTGTTAATGCTCTTTCCTCTTTGCTATGCATGCAGGGCCCCTGTTGGTTGTTAAGCTCAGCGCATGTGCGGCATAGAGTGAACACCAGTTTACCAGCTGCAGTTCGGTAGGGCAGGACAGGAAAGTATAGACCCCTAGGAGGTTCTACTGTGGCTTTGATTAACCCGAAATAACTGCGAGGGTCTTTGAAATCTCGGAATATGATCTGAGGGTGTCCAAGTGGATATAGGCCTGTGCAGTTTACAAAAGGGTAGAGTGAGGTGAAATCACAATAATGAACCAATTCATCTGCCACTGCTGTGTGCCTCAACTTTACTGCACATGTCCTTCCCCCGTATAAAGCATCGCGGGGGGTCAGCGGTTCTGGTGCATTGTATACCCTGAGGAAAGCCTTCAAATCTTGATTGGATTTTTTCATCTCAACCCATGTATGCTCACGCATAACGTTCACTTTGGCCCCGTGAACAGAGTCTAGCTCATGCAGTTTTGCCTCACTAGCAGCATGGAGATGCTCAAATGTGTCACCTATCAATGGATTTTTCTCATGCCCCTTATAGCAAGAGGGGCATCCGTGATAGAAACAACCAAGAAATTCCCAGACAATCTTTTCCCCGGTAACTTCGGCAAACTCGTCTACGACGAAATGTCCCACTCGTTTCTCTCCTTCATTCAACGCATGTTGAATAAAAACACCTTCAGTCTGAGCTACCCACTCCGGCCACTGAATACCTGCGTCTGAGTACGTCTTGTTTTCACGGCGGTAGTCGTCGGGTGGGGGAATTGCTAGGGTTTTGGGCGATAGAAAGTTTGTGGTAAAAACTTTCATACAGGCAGAAGCTATAGTCGAGCGACTAAAAGGATCAACTCCTGTCTCCCCGAGAAAACCTTTCCGAAATAATGTGGCCCCCTGGGCAAGAATGTCCACATCGTTTTTGCAGTAAAGCAATGCCTGCTCTCGGAAGTCAAACGTACCCTGGCGTACCGTCTCATACCACGTGAAAAAGTCACTCTTTTCACCAGTTGTCATGCGTTCAACCCCATAACAGTGTGCGGGTGGATAAGGGCCTATATAACTCAGGTTAGCCTTGGAGCTGAAACCGTGAGGGAAGTATCCCTTGATTTTAGCTCCAAATCCCAAAGCTTTTGGCATGTCTGCTAAACGCATAGACAGATAAGACAGTGAGTCTATGTACTTGTGCCCTAAATCTTCGTCAGTAAAAGAGAGCACTTTACTTCCCTGCATTATTAACGGGGGCTTTAGCCCCTGTGCAACCATTGCGTTGATAATGAAATAGCTGTCAAAACCCTTAGCATTGTGAGCGATGAATGTTGCATTCTTGAACTTTGGGCGCCTAAAGTGTGCCAGAAACTGCAGTGCACAGTCGATTCCCTCGCCGACCCAAATTTCACCCCCCAAGGTTTTTGTACAAACCAAGAAAGGTATATGTACCCCATCTGCCCCCGCCATTGTTTCAAAATCATAAAACACAATGTTGTCATTGTGTTCTGTCTCTTTAGGCAGCACTCCTATGTAACACAAATGTTTTTCACACCCGAGCGTAGAAGCAGATGGTAATTTTTCCTTGCATGTCTTACATTTTTTCGTCACACACTTGTGTGTTTTATCTGCTGTACTCTTGGGGGTGTAGTAAGAAAGTTGGCAATCTACACACTTTGTGTAAATCACAGTTACTGGCAATGTCTGTTGATCTCTGTTTCTGCTCTTTATGTCGAGAATGACAGCCGACTGTACGGCATGTTTTGTTGCAGTCTTTACAAAAGATGGGTTTAAACTCTCCCTGAGTACATGAGGGGTCAAGGCAGACATAACAATGACCAGTACAGGAATGATTCCATTGAGAGCTGTAACCTGTGTAACAATGTTCACAGACATACTAAGAGCCTAAAAACCCCTTCAAGTTCTTGACACCATAGTAGTGGTTGTGAAGGAGGAACAAAAACACAGTTTTGTCTCGTTTGGGGGCGTCTGTCTGGAATTTACAGAGGGTACGATCATCATTGCTTCGGTAAAATACCACTATCTTGCATTTTAAACTGTCTTCGAATTTATCAATGTCGCTGAATGTCACAGCTGTATGAGCTGTCAAACCCGCCCTCTTCTGAATCTCTTTACCACGTTCAACACCTTCATTATCAGTGATGTTGTCGTGTAACAACAGTGCTAAATTAATAGCAAAACACAGCTGGTTGGAGGAGTTCTGAACAACGTAAAGAAAACGCCCCTTCTTTTTAACAATCTCATTGTCTAACATTTTACTAATCATCCGTTTACCCTGAACCCCTCCACGGGGGGACTGAACAATTTGAACCACTAGCTCCATGTTGCTTTCTGCCATTAAAATCATATTCGATTGCATGGCGTTGAACAGCCCCTCCTCAAAATCATCCAGATTGTCATCGAGACCATTTAAAATGGCTGACACGTTAACCCTTAGTTGTTCACCATGTAATTCAATCTGCACGATATCTTCTCTCTCTGCCCGTGCAAAAGCATATGCAAGCATGCTATGCACATTGTTCATCAGACCCTCAAAATAGACTCCAAAGTCTGCTTCAGCCCTAATAGGCGGTAGGACTAGAGACTGTCTCATTTCTGTGTTATTGAATACAGGTCGAGAGAAAACACTTGGCTCGGCATCTCTGCTAGGGCCTCCTCCATGCTGTGACAGGGGGCCCTGTGATTCAGAAGCATTCGGGGTGTCATTCTGATCAACATGTCCATTACTTTGCATGGAGCGAACGGGTGATTCTGAGTCATTCGAGCTGTCATTAACACACCCGCCATCTTGCATGCTGGAAACGGGTAGGCCGGCGTTGGCCGAAGCTTCGCTATTTTGTCCATTCAGATGGGGGTCATTGTCTAGAGGCTGATCTAAAAGCCCCCGGTCCTCGTAGCAGTCTATCACCCAATCCAAGGCACCGTCTAATGTTTTTGTTGGACTGCTTGAATTTGTTTCTGACAAGGCCGTGGGCTCGTTTACAGCTGAGCCCTCGCCATTTAACTCACTGTTGTTGCCTGAACACTGCGGAAATGACAGGTCCTTATATCTGAATTCATCATCATCATCACTGTATAGTTCATTTACATCAGGTAACACATCAAGAAAAGACCTTTCTCCATCTGTATAGGGGTTTGTTTCTGTCAAGGGCATCGGCTCGCTTACATCTGTTATTGCATCATTTAGCTCACTGTTACTGTCTGAACACTGTGGAAATGGCATGTCTTCGTACACAAAGCCCTCATCATTGTATAGTTCAATTGTATCAGGTAAACCCGCGATAAAAGACCTTTCACTATCTTTTAAATCATCCATGCTTGACCGTTTTTAAGAAATCACCCCCCGCAAAAAGAAAAAACAAAATCAGAAATAGATGTGTCATCGCTGAAGAAACATTTCACTTTGCTTCTACATTTATGGACGTAAAGTCAACATACCTGGCGGATACATCAATAACAGTTTTACATGTGATCTCCAGCTTATTCAGGTGGTGTGGCCTTAAATCAGACCTTAACAAACAGCGTTTGTCCTTTGATAACGGGGAGGATTGCTCTATAGAGAAAAAAGACAGAGAAATAAAAGAAGAGGGTATAGGTATGTTTTTTGAAATACCCAGGATTATACATTTAACAAGAAAACAAAATCATTTAGCTATCATCTTGTAAAAGCAAACATAAAAAGCATTTTTTTTACCTGGTAGGTTTTAATTCTCAAGCACAGTCTGTGTTGAGATGACTTGATGAAGAGCTCTGAGCTGAGACCATTCAAGCTGCAGGAGGGGCGCAACCACCTTTTTTAAAAACAAGAGAGTACGTTATTCTGGATACTTTCACATGAAAAACATATTTGATTTTAAGAAATATAGCTAAATACACTTATAGTTAAAAAATGTACACCACATTATTTGTACTTAGAAGGATACTTCATTAAAGCTTCTAAATAATTACAATCTAGGGCTGTTACATAATAGAAAAACAACAGATGCATAGAGGTTCTTTAACACACATCAAGCAGCATTAACTAACTACATGATATTATAACATAAAAATAAAGTACTTACCAGATATTTTCAAAAGATCTGGGCCTGATGGGGAAAAGCGAAGAGAGGTCTGTCTAGATGTTTATGAACCCTGACTTATAGGGCAATGCATATGTGTGAAATACTCTAAACAAGCCAATAGGGGTTATTCCTGATTGTTAACAAATTAGCATTATATTGTATTTGGTTTTTATGACAGAGCAAATACTTTTTTAGGTTTAGGCTATTCTCCTGTATATGTATATATCACACATACATATATATATATATATATTAAAAGTATAGCATACACATTACAAAACATGTAGATAGTAGATGTATACATGAGAAATAATGTACTGCTTTCTCTTTTTGGCTCTGTCATCTTGCCGTGATCCGCATACTCTGTATTTTATACCAGCCTCAACCACACACAGCACACCACACACCAACACACAACACACACAAACACACACACACACACCACACACACACACACACACACACACACACACACACACACACCACACACACACACACAACACACACACACACACACACCACACACACACACCACCCACACCACACACACACACACACACCACACACACACACACACCACCCACACACACACACACACCACACAACACCACACACACACCAACAACACACACACACACACACAACACACACACACACACATACACCACACACACACACACACAAACACACCACACACACACACACCACACACACACACACACACACACACAACCTCCAGGGTTTTTTTATGTTTCTCCCACACTTTTCTCAGGCATGTCCAGACTGTTCACAAAACTTTTCAACGGAAACTCTTTTAGAGCAAAGAGGGGTTAGAGGGATTGTGAGGGTTTTAAAATATATTTAAATATAATCACAAAAAAAATGGTAAAAACAGGATTTTGAAAATGATATTATTTTTCATAGGTAACACAAAACATTACACAACGAAACCATTTAAAAGCTGGAAATATATACATGGGATGTCACTATGATAATGTGAAAGTTTGATTGAGGTAGCATGGGATTTCATTCTGATAAGGCAAAAGGTGTTATTATAAATATAATACAAATATATATATATACACATTATGTACAAAAAATCAGTTTTTTCTGTCTTTATCTGTGCCACGCTTCAAAGCGGTTTCTGTCAACTACGACACAGAGGGCAACATCACAGATTCCTCCTCCTCCATGTAAAAAAACAAGCTTAAAGCTTGACTCACGTTCAGAGTTCTCTTCATCATAGTTGAATCTTCAAAACTTTAAATCTATCGAACTATATCTAAATTCTCAATGTTTGTCTGTCACTTTACTTCAATCGCAGTCTCCCGCTGTCTCTCTTCGTCTCGTTTCGTATCACTCCGTTTACCTGATTACCTCACCCCCTCCCTGGTAAATACATCCTATTGAGCAGAATCTACAGTTTCCAGTATTTTCCGTTTCGTAAAATGATCAAATGCGGCGAAGATATTAAAATTAGGGCCGGGACTTTAACGCGTTAATTAAGATTAATTAATTACACAAAAATTAACGCGTTAAAAAAATTAACGCATTTTAATCGCACTTATTTTTGCACCGCGGAACGTTTCTCACTGGATGAGTTTCAGGCGTACCGATTATACTGGAGCACCAACTAACGTTCATGACTTCAGACAACAACAAACCACGGTGAACAACAGTGGGAAATGTTGTTTTAAAAAACGGACGGATGGAAGCGTTGATAAGAGCACGGTTGTGTGCAAATTATGCAAAAAGGAATTCGCATATCACCGTAGCACATCAAGCCTCAAGTATCACCTCAATGCAAAACATATAGCAGCTAGCGTGGAAGCTAGCGTGGACGTTAGCCTCTTTTATCGCGTTCACACCAAAAAGAGCCGGTACTAAAATTAGTTCATGAGAACCTTTTTATACCCCCACGAAAGTCCCTGCTAGAGAGCAGGGACTTTCGTACGGCTCTCATGTGAGAAAATAGCTATATTTCTGATTGGCTGGGCGGATTGCAAACCACGCCCCGTAAAACTCCCAAAAAGTTTGGTGAAGCCGCCATTTTATTATCCTCGCATTAGCATCATTAGCATTATTAGCATTATTAGCATTAGCCCAGCGCAGAAACACAGAGAGACTAACTTATGGCAATACAAAATAAAACATGGGAGCGGTGGAGATGAGGAGGTGTCGGCGTTCTGGCGATTTACTCGGAAGGCTGCTGGGACTCCCAGCAGCTTCTACTGAAGCCAGTCCCCAACTCCGGGGACTTCCGGCCGGGGACTTTGGGCGGCAGTATACGCCGTGAAGTGGTTTGCGGCCTGCCAGTAAACCCAAAGCAGAAGAAGAAGAAGTGACGTCAGCGGCTTAATTTGTTCTCATGAACTAAGTTCTCATGAACCTTTGTGGGAAAAGTACTGCGGTGTGAATGCGCCTAATGGTATACTAAAATCCATGTGAAAAAAATTGCTTCTCACTGTTCTTAGGTCAAATATTTATATGCGATTAAAAATGCGATTAATTTCGATTAATTCATTACAAAGCCTCTAATTAATTAGATTAATTTTTTTAATCGAGTCCCGGCCCTAATTAAAATATGTGCTTCCATTATTCATACTTCTGAAATATATCTGTATTAACTTTATATCATCGTATGTCCGTGTTTATTGGGTCTTTTTGCATGAAACAAAGACTGGCATATAGTTTCAAGCCAGTACTTTCGACAGAAATACACATCCTGTTGAGCAGGATCTACAGTTTTCCAGTATTTTCCGTTTCGTAAAATGATCAAATGCGGCGAAGATATTCAAATATGTGCTTCCATTTTTCATACTTTTGAAATGTATTAACTTTATATCATCGTATCTCCGTGTTTACTGGGTCTTTTTGCATGAAACAAAGACTGGGATATAGTTTCAAGCCAGTACTTTCGACAGAAACACACGGCAATGTTGTCCGGACTGTTGTTTTTATACGCCACCGGCTTGAACAGGTCATGTGATCTGATCACGCCAGCGTGACGGTCAACTCCAAAGGGTTAATATTAAATACATATAAGTAATTTTACAACTTGTATTTAGAAATACTCTGTTGTAATTATTGATGCATAAATGTGTTCATCCATTCAATGTGGCATCTGCTATAATGGGGTTAATGTATGATATTACTTAATAATACAATACATTATAATATATGATATGATAATTACATTTTAGTTTTATTCATTTCTTATTTCATAGTTTCTCATTATTATTATTGTTATCGCTCATCTTATTTTTGATTTTATTAATCTGTGTGAATCTGTGCTGTCCTGTTTTTCACTCTCACCCTGTTGCTGTTTGAACTACTGAATTTCCCCACGGGATTAATAAAGGTCCATTTTATCTTATCTTAATGTATAAGTTGATTTACTTCAATCTACTGTACTGTGTAAAACACCCCAACAATATTACAAGAAATATACTGCATAAAGCAATCTATATACTTTATTTGATCTAAAATATTGATGTTTTTTCATTATAGTAGCTTGTGAAACCCATACAGTAACAAATAAGTGATTAAATGCTACAGTATTCAGCAAACACAACTGCAGAGCTGCAAACAGACTAATTTCTACAACACCCAGTTGTCTTTGTGTATTTTGTGAATGAAGCGCCATCTCATGGTTAAATCCTGTAATTGAACAAATGGGGAAATTGGGCAACGCCCTCTAGCAATTTGGCAACACCCCCAGCCACTGGCATCAGCTGGGCTTTTGACTGGGACACACCCATCTGAGTCTGATCTGGAGTGCTTCATCTGTACTGCGAGGACATAAAGTCCAGCGTCGGAGAGCACGACATTCTTTAGCGTTATGAGTACCGGATTACTAAACCTGGCAGAGCACGGAACACCTGGGTCTCTCCTAACCACGTTCATTCTATATTTGAGGGATCTAACAATTTCCGCCGATCGGTAAGATGGCATGTATCCCAAGTCATCAGGACCCGAATTTACTAGGACACCGGACCAGGACTCGCAGGAGCAACCGTAGGTGTATGTGACGGACACATAAGGATCGCCTTTGATTCTATATGTACTGCCTTGGTAAGTGTAAGGACCGCCTTTGACCTTATCTTTGATTCTTCTGTTACATACCGCTGGGGCTAAGCAGACGTATTTGGCTCGGTTGGAATAGGTCCTGGCGAGGTTTCTGCAGGGGGCAATTTTGCACAGGTCGATTTGTATTATTCCATCACTACCTGCTTGGACAGAGAAGATTTGTTTAGTAGATATGGTGGTAACTACTACCTCATATGTAGGGTTGGGTACCGAGAACCGGTTCCGGTTCGGAACCGGTTCCAACGGCATCATTTAGAAATGTGAATTTCGGTTCCGCTTTTCGATGCCTGAGGAAATGTTTCTCGCCGCTGTCCGTAGCCTACTGTATGACTGCGAAGGGGCGGGAAATGTAGCGTTGTATCCAGCGCCATATAGACTATGGTTGACCCATAGATATATATAAACACGTGTTTATATATACAGTCTATGGGTTGTACCTACACTTCCTACAGCGTAACCTGAGACCAGGGCCGGCCCGTCGCACTGGCGTTATAGATGTTCGCCTAGGGCGCCAGATCTGTGGAGGCGCTGCGCTGACAGCTCTGGGAGGGAAAAAAAACGTTTTGACCGTTGGTGCTCATCCTAATTTTCGGCCTTCATAATTAAGTAAATGTAACACCCTTTTCATCCCGGTTACACTTTTCATTTGCCCTGTACGATGGGCGCTGTAAGTGATGAAAATGGGGGATGTTGACTTATCTGGCACCCACAGCTCACAGCCAAAGTGTGAGTGAACGAGGGAGAAAGGGAGGGCGCTGTTGTTATTAGCATCTGGTGCTAGCTGCTCTAACAGAAGAAGAAGAAGTTTCTACAATGATGTGGAGGGAGAGTCCTCTCCAGTCAGACTGAGAGGATGATAACTTCAGCTCAGTGAGGTAACTGAGTGTTTAGATAGTTCACTTTAGTCTAAGTTATCTCAGTGGTCTCAAACGTTTTGATCACAATTTATGTAAACACATATTTCCAAGGCACTCCTTTATAATTATTGGGATAAAACAGTTTTGAAATCATTACAATGTATACTATAGGACAGTAAACCAGACATATCATTTTAAACTGGAGAGATACAAAACTATGCATACATAAAATAGTAATATAAGATATGAATGAACAACAAAAATAAAATACGTTACATGTTATGGCTATGGTAGGTTATTGGTTATGTTCACATACTTATTTAATTATTAAAATGTAAACCGATCTTTTTCATATGGGTGTTTAGAGTTGTACTAGTCTCTAATAATTCTGCTTAAAGTGCACCAGATTGAAGCATTTTACTTCAAAATGTTCAAACATTTCTTCCCGGTATGCATGAGAAGGCAGATATGCTTGTTTTTCTCAACAAGAACTGTTCTTTAAAAGTTGGACTGTTGCACTGTTGTAGCTTCAGTGGTTCTCAGGTTACAGTTACATAGCAGTGAATATAAACAGACTGATTAATGTGAATATTACTGTAAACTAACCTGTGTAAAAGTTTCTCGAATAAATGTAATTTTTTTGGTGGAAGAAGCATGTATCATTTTTTTACCCTGCCCCTCAAAGAATCGGAATTGAGAACCGTTAAGAACCGGAATCGAAAAGTAGAATTGGAATCGGAATCGTGGAAATTCCAACAATACCCAACCCTACTCATATGTGGCCCGTTTGACCCTAGTTACGGATTCATCTGGCGGGGGAGTGGAGTCTGGGTGGTCAATGGAATCACATAAGATTAAAATAATGGCAACAGTCACAGTAGAAAACAGGACTAAGCCTGTGAAACATTTCCAGTTCTCATACATGGTTATGCTGTTAGCTCCAATTATTCTAGTGTCAGTAAAAAACGTCGATGCTAACGTATGGTATTAAAACCCAAGTTATCAAGAGTGCTTTGGACCAAGGGCTCATTCAACCTTGACTTTTTTAAGGGTTACAATGTACATACAGTAGGGCGAACAAATAGACTATTATTCCCAATAGTAGTAGCGACCAACAGGTTATCAGGAAATTCAGGGCTCCTTCAGACATTTTCTATTCTTCTCTGAAATGTTCTGGTCTCTGTGTCAGCCTTACATGAGGTTATTAAAACGTAAAAAATCCCTTAAATATGGGTTAATAAAAAGTCCCTCAAAAAATGGGTTAATAAAAAGTCCCTCAAAAAATGGGTTAAAAAATGTGGTGCTCTGTGTAGCTTATAGCAACCTGATCAGAGGGAAGTAGGTTCCTCTGCTTCCCCTTGAAGCCCGGTGTCTTTGTCCTCCAGCCCGCTAACGGCAGCTTCCGAGTCGTCTGCTGGAGGGATGTCCTCGAGGTCCTTCTCCTCCAGTCCGCTGATGGCAGCTTCCGAGTCGACCTCCTTGACGAGAGCCAGATCCGTCCTGATGTCGTCTAGGGTCCTTCCAGGTGGTTTCCCCGCCGCACACTGGCTCCAGTGGTACCAGTTGTCCCCCTTTCCTTCTAGGCGGACAGCATGGGATGTCCTCTGAGTCACTCTGTAGGGGCCGGAGAACCTGGGGTTGAGCCACTTGGGCCTGACGAACTCCGCTGTGTTGGCCTCGTGTCTCTCGGATCCCCCTTTCGCATCAGCGACCTGTGTGGAAAAGCCTGATACCAGCCCCTTAAGTTGCTGGAAATAGGGTTTCGAACTCATGACCTCTACTTCCTTTCCTACGCTCAGGGCTCCTGGGCCCGGAAACTGATGGCAATGTGTCAGCTCAAATGGGGAGAAACCTGTCCCTCGGTTAATAGAACTCCTGATTGACATAAGGGCCAGAGGCAAAGCGTCTAACCAGTTCATGCCTGTCTCCTCACATGCTTTGCTGAGTTTCTGTTTGTTCTACCTTACCCTGAGATTGGGGGTGATAGACAGCTCCGAAACTGTGTCTTAGTCCTAATGACTGTTCTACTGTGCGTAGGTCATGGTTCTTGAAATGGCTGCCATTGTCTGACCTCACTTTCCTAGGAAACCCATGTAGTGGAATGTAATGCGTGACTAACAACTTGATCACTGAGTCTGCATCTTCTCTCTTACATGGCATAGCTTCTGGCCAACCTGTGTATGCATCTACTACAACTAGTAAGTACCTGAACCCTCTTACTTTGTCAATCATGTCAGTGTAGTCAATGATGATTTCTTCTCCTGCCATCTTAGGTAAAGGAAACTTTCCCTGGTGTGGTTTTACAGTGGCTCTGATGTTATGGGTTAGGCAAATTACACATTCTTCTAGGTAATTAGCTATCATGTCAGGTAGGTAGGGGTGCCACCAATGAGTGAGGTGTCTGTTCATCTGAGTTTTACCGCAATGTGTTGGGCCGTGTGCTTCTTTAAGCATTGATCTTATCCATCCTGGGGGTATCACTGGTCTCCCATCTGGGGAGTACCATATCCCGTCTTTGTTGGTAGCTCCTCTGTCTAACCATACTGTTTTATCTTGAGGAGACCCTGCTGCTTGAGCTTCTTTGAGAGTATCATCTGTTACTGCAGGAAAACTGGGGTATATACCCTGCTTTGGCCTTAGCTGCTTTGTCTGCTGCATTGTTACCCCAAGACAAATAGTTGTCTGCCATGCTGTGACCTTTACACTTAAGTAAAGCTAGCTTGTTTGGCAACATTACTGCTTCTGCAAGCCTTTTGATCTCTTTCTCGTGTTTGATGGGGGTATTGGTGGATGTTACAAATCCTGCTCTCATCCACTGGCGCATTTCCACATGTATGACACCATGAACATATGCTGAGTCAGTATAGATGTTTACATATTTTTCTTTTGATAGCTCTAATGCTGCAATGACTCCCATTACTTCTGCCAACTGTGCTGAGACTTTCCCTGCTGCTCTTTCCTCAAACTGTCCCTCAGCTGTTTGACCCACCACTGCGTAGGCCGCTTGGAGCCCGTTGGTGGGGTGTCTGAAACAACAGCCGTCTGTGAACAGGTTTTCTGCATTTGGCATAGGCTCGTCTCTGAGATCTATTCTTATCTTCACATCCTGGATGATTCTTTCCTCACACCTATGGGGTTCTCCGCTAACCATGGTGTCTGCGCTGTTAACCCCTTCATGTGTGTAGGTGATGTGTGCTTGTGTCAGAGTTTTCTCTAACCTGGTCTGTCTGGTGGAAGTCATTGTGAATGCACTTGAGTTCACAAAAGAGACAATGCTATGTGTTGTCAGTACTGTCAAAGGGTGTCTCATCACAATATGTGACATTTTGTTCAAGATACGTGCTGTACCGGCTGCATGTCTTGTGCATGGAGGTTCTCTGTTCTCCACTCTGTCCAGGGTGATACTAATGTACATCAGTATTGACCTACATCCCCCCTTTTTCTGAAATAGAATACCATTTACTGTGTTTTCATTTTCAGAAACATCAAGGAAAAATGGCAATGCATAGGATGCAGAGGCGAGAGAGGTGACCTGGGACATGGATTGTTTCAGAGAAATGAAGGCAGCTTCTGCAGTTTGTGTCCAGTCCAGGGTGGCAGTGAGATTGCGCATGCCCTTCTAATTGATCAGTGTTCTGAGTTCAGATGTTCTTGGGTTATACTCTGGGATGTAGTGTCTGCTGTAGCCTGTGAGACCCAGAAAAGATAGCATGTTTTTGACTGTCTTGGGTTTGGGGTGGTGTAATATGTTTTCTTGATGTGCTGCTGACATGCCTGTACCTGCTGGAGAGATTACTCTGCCCAAAAATGTCACCTCTTTACGGGTGCATTGTAGCTTTTTCTTGGAGACCTTGAACCCTGTTGCGTGGAGGCGAACCAGTAGGTTCGTGGTGGCCTCCAGGCAAGAGGCTGCGGAGGGTGCAGCAATGAGAAGGTCATCTACATACTGGATCAATACCACCCCCTCTGGCAATGAAACACCATCTAGCTGTTTCCTGAGTATTTTGTTAAATATTCCTGGAGACAAACTGAAGCCTTGTGGTAGTCTTGTGTACTGTAGTTTTTCCCCTCCCATTGTAAATGAAAAAATAGGTCTCATACTCTTTGCTAGAGGTATGCAGAAGAAAGCGTTGGCCAGGTCAATACAGGTGAACCATGTATGTTCAGGTGAGATATTACAGATAGCCGTGTATGGGTTAGGCACTGGTACCAGAGCTGTAGTGGTGATAGCATTAATGGTCCTCAAATCATGAGCCATCCTATACTCCCCGCTTGGTTTTGATACCGGGAGTATTGGAGTGTTCCACTCGCTTTTTGAGGGTTCCAACACCCCTGCCCTTTTTAGTCCCTCAACTAACTTGCTGATACCCCCTTTGGCCTGTGGTTTAACAGGGTACTGTGATAGATTTATAGGCATAGAGCTGCTCACCTCAAATGTTATTGGTGCAGCCTTTGAGCAGAAACCTACGTCATGAGAGTCAGATGACCACAGGTCAGGTGGAAGGTCACGCAACATGTCATCAGTGAATGAGTGGTCAGTCCTCTCTCTACCATGCTGTCTATCCACTTCGTGTCTCTCCATGAAGATGCATTCCTGAGTGCAGATTTTTAGAGCATGAGCTTTGTGTGAAGGAGAGAATGTGAGTGCTGCTATTTGTGTTGGTTCCCAATCCTCGACTTTTAGCAGTGTCTTGACCATAGGACCAAGTTCCTTAGCTTCATAGCCCTTCCTGATAGCTAATGAAATGTGTGGTGTGGATTCAGCTGACATACGGTACCAATAGTGTTGTTCATCAGTGAGTTCAACCAGCCCCGCTTGTCCCACAAATAAATTGGTTGTGGTTACGTCCCAAATGGACATAGCCACCTCTTTGTCATATGCATAACTTTGGTCGTCTTTTCTATCATAATTTAGCGTCAGATGGGGAGGGTCTGGAGGGGAACCATAAGGCCTGAGGAGGTTAATCCACGGCTTCCATTGTTGAAAAATGTAAAATAGTCCTGGTGTCTTGTCTTGGGCCAACCCCCAGTATATAGTGGCATACTGAGTTGCGTCTGCTTCAGTGGATTGGCCCAACAACATCTGAGAACCTGACTTTATGGTGGATATTGAACAATTGAGGCGAGTGCCATCGGGGGAACAGAGGATGGAGGCATTAGCTTTGATAAGAACATCCCTTCCCATGAGGTTAGCCGGACTTCGGGGTGCCAGAATGTACTGATGGAAAAATATCTGGCCTGCTATTCTGGTGGTTAATGGCGTAGTGAGCGGTACTTGCTCTATTTCTTCCGAAAACCCTATGACTGAGACTGTATTACTTGAAATGGACGTGTTAAACACGGGGGAGTTGATAGTTGAATATCTAGCTCCTAAATCAACAAGGAATGGTAGCTTCGAGTTTTTTACAGTCATGTCCATGTAAGGATCCGCCAGGCCCGTACATTCAGGGTTCCCTGGGCGACCTCATTGTGGTGGGTATTAGTCTTGTTCGAACAGGACAAATTGGCCATAGGGGGCGGCCATCGCATTGGGTGCCACATGACCCTGGTCTCGATGTTGGGCCTGTGGGGCTGCCTCATGGGATTTCTGGAAATACTGCATGTATGTTGTGTACCATTGTCCATGCCCTCTCTGTCCCCCTTGTCCCCGCCCTCTCTGTGGTGGGGGTCCCTGTGGGCATTGTTTATACCAGTGGTCGGTTTGTCCACAGATGAAGCACCCCTTCTGCTGATATTGGTTCACTCCTGGAGCTGTTCCAACCCCTCCTCTACCTCTAGTTCTGCCTCTGAACCCGCCCCTCTGTTGCTGAAAACCATTATTGTAGCCATATTGGGGCTGGTTATAGGACGGACCTTGGTTGGGAAAACCCCCTTGTGGGTCCCCGGTGCCTGCTCTGCTGGCGCCACAGGATGAACAATCAGCTGTTTGGCACTCTTTTTCTCATTTTGAACTGTTTTACGGGCTATTTCCAGCTGAGTACGGAGTAGTTGCACTCTCAACTCTTCTTCCTCGGTTTTATTCTTTGTGAGTTGTTTGTTAAATTTGCCTAAATGATGGGCCAAATGACACTCCCATGTCTGCGTGTTTAGGTGATCTGCCTCTGGGTTGTCCTCCATGAGAGCTTTAATCTCGGCAGGTACAGCTGCCAGTATCGCTTTACGGAACATCTGCACATGTTGGTCATTATTTTCTGGACTACAGTCAGTGGCCACTGTGTATTGTTGGCGTGACCTGAGCAACATGGTTGCTGCGGCCTCTCCAGGTATGAATGTGAAAGACAGTGAACCGTAGCCTCCTCCTGTCTGTGGGAAATTTTCTCTCATTGCCTTGCTAAGCAAGCTGTGTATGTCGTTAGAAGAGATAGGCTTGTCATCGCTCATTCTTCCTGTACCTGATCTTCCCTCAACTCTCTCTACCTCATAGCTGGAAGTCTGTTGTGCTAATATCCTCCTGAAATCTCCAAGGCAGATTGTTTGTCCTACTGACATATCCGCAAACTTTCTCCCTCCCTCAGTAGGTAGCGGCATTTTGTCAACTAGTGCATGTATGTCTCCTAGTGTGAAAGGGTGGTAAGTGATATTCCCACTGGGGAGTCACTAAAGGAACCTGTAATGCTGTGGCCATAAAGGCATGAAATGTGGGGTCTTCCGAGGTGTGATGGGATCTTAACATCCCACGGGGGAGTGCAAGAACCTGTACATCAGTCAATTCAGTGATTGTTCCTGCCAGAGATATGCTCTTAACCTTTTTCTTATCTTTTCTGCCGTTGTCCTGTTCCTGTTCTGCTCGGCTCTGCTGAGCAGTGTCCTGATAGCTACCTCTATACCCCGTGTGTTCTGCTTCAGAGTAATACTTATCACTATCATGCCCAGATGCTCCTCCCCTACTTTTTGGGTTATAGCGGGTCTAGGCTTCTCTACTTCTAAAAGGTTCGTCACCTTACCTTTCTCCCTCTTCAAGTAATTATTCCGCTCCATGGTGATAGCCCCTCTCTCTCTCCTGACTACCCCCACTCCCCTCGTCTCCATTTCTCTTTTCACTTCTTCTCTCCTCTTCCTTTCTTCTCTTCTCATACTGCCTTCTGTCATAGTCAAATCGTACTCTATCCTCTCTCTCCCTCTCCTCTTGGCGTTCTACAATGGCGAGTAATTCTGCCTCTGTGGGGCTGCTCTTGCCTCTTTTAATAGAGGTACTCCTTAAAGGAGTCAGTGAAACATTTCCCATGATTGCAAAGTTACCCCCCTTTTCACTTGCTTTTTCTTGGTCTGATCCATAGCACCCTTTTGTTAGTGGCATCTGTAGATTAGACATGGGGGGTGCGTCCGGGACAGGTTGTTTAAATGGATTAAATAAGTCTGGGTAAATGCGGGGGGAAGTGAAGGGGACATACGGATCCTCTATAGGTCCTGTCTGAGACCTCTCTTCTGAGCCAGCCTTTTGTGCAGTGCACACGTCATTTACAGCACTGCTGAGAGTTTGACTCCCCATGTCTTCCCTGTTTGAGGCAGAGGTCTCCTCTTTATTTATATTCCTATAACCCCTGACACGTTCTGCAATATAGTGATGTATTTCTTCATCTGTAGGTGCTTGGGCTGACACGTGCGTCCCTATACTGTCACGAGGGAACAGGAGAGTTCTAAGGTAACTAGAGTGTAGAAACTCCTCTCCCTGGGTCGGGGTTTGGACCGCGACCAGGACTGGGGGAGTTTTGGTTGTGAAGGGAGTAACAGCTACACCGTTCATGGCGAGTGCTGCATTATGACAAAGACTCCGTATTTTATCTACCTCCTCCTTCTCTTTGTTTAGTTTCGTCCGGCCCAACAATCCGGGTTTTTCTTTGTTTAGGTCACCAAGTTTTTTTACAAGCTGTCGTTCATAAACATTTAGAGCTGAGCCTAAATTTCCTAGAGTGTCATCTCCTCCCACTCTGTTTTCTTCTATCATTTTTTTATGGAGGAATCGGAGGTCGGCACAAGCCTTCTTCTTGTCTCCCTGTTTGAGTCCACTGAGAATCAATCTCTCAGCCTGTCCCCATTGCTCTTGGAAACTTACGGGAATTGGGATGTGTAAATCATCTTTTTTAAACTGTCCTTCCATGATGGTTGTATATTATTTGTCTGACTAGGCTGATATGTGTTCAGTTGTATTTATCAATATACTGGACAATGCTTGTCGTTGCTCTTAACATAGTTAATGTATTTATTTAACTGCCCTGCCCTTAATCCAAATGTGTAAATATTTTGAGTGTAAAAACTTAAGTATTTCAACTCCACTTCGAATGATAGAACTATTAACAAAGAAGTACTAACAAAAGCACTTATGATACTAACAACGGACTGGCTTATCTAAAGGCAGTTGAGTAGCACTTGAAATGTTTTGGCTATAAACCCAGATATACTTTAATGATCTTGTTTTGTTTTTGATTGTATGTTCCTAGTCAAACGCACTTATTGTGAGTCGTTTTGGATAAAGGCGCCAGTCAAATGTAATGTAATAATGCAAGAAATACTACAAAATACGTCCAGCAGATGGCGGCACTTCACCAGGAATGAGCTCCACCTCACTGAGGGGAAGAATGCTTCAGAGAGCAACAAGCTTAAACTTTGTGTCTTTATCTGACTTTCTCTGTTATCTATTAGTAATTATTCACAGAAAATTATTCCCCGTACAGTCTATCCAGCTTTTATAGTGCGATGTTTATTTCAACAGATAACGAGACCTTTGGACGCGCTTCTACACCGCTTTTCAGCGATGTGGCATCCACATGGAGTCGAAACCCAAGTCAACAGAATCTCTTTATTGTCACGTTTAGCCTTATAGATCCAACCCAACAGGACAAGAGATCACGAGATTCCGATCGTTTCAAAATGGCTTTTTGAAATATGCGTATCTCCCCTTGGATTTTTTTTTACATATAACTCACCTCCAGCTCCTATGAGCCTTGGATTTGTTATTCAGATTTGTCATGGATGGAGACTCAATACTACCACTTGACTTCCACCAGCGAGTATAGCCTGTGTGGACTCAATACCTACACTTAAGCTAGGGACTTTGTGCCCTTCCAGCCGTCCGAGACTCAATACCCTACGCTGAAATACTTCGCTGCTTCACTTTTATATTTATATAACTTTCATACCTATACTAAAATATGTATTGTATGTTTTACTGGCAATGACTATGACACTGGGAAATATTCCTGACAACTCTAACATTTTGAATATAGCCAAATCACAGATTTTGAGTGTAACCGGTATCTGCTTACCTGGTATTTACAGAGCTCTGTTTTTAGATGTCAGAAAGTTTTTCGAGGTGTCATCCCTGGACTGCTTCGTCCGCTGGCTGCTGATGTGACTTCCTCTGAAATCCCACTCACAAACGTCTGTGTCACCACTTGTTGGAGTCTAGGTGGTTTTAAAACCCACCTCTGCCCCGCGTGTCGTTTGGTGGGCTGCTTAAATCATAACAGGAAGGGAATCAGAAAACAACCAGGATACCAGTTAAGCAGAAATATGTTTTAATTATAAAAGGTAATAATCCAATGCAATACCATACAATACAAGGAGTACTCCTGCCCTGGTTCTCGTGCTGTTCAGATTCCGGTCTTGACAGCAGGAGAAGAGAGAGCGAACACACAAACACAAACAGGAGGTATAGAGGTACCACGAGGAGGAGTCGGGTGAGATTCTCCTCCCACAGAGCCCATCCTGCAGCATTCCAGAAACTGCAGTTGTGTCTAAAGAATATTCCCTTGCTCACAAAGATATATACAAAGGTCTAATTTCTCATATTCCCAGCTCCTGGTTACACAGACTGCTATTATTAATACAAAGTAATTAAACACACACGTCTACTATTCAAGATATGTAGACTTCCCTGACATGGTGGAGATTTTAAGAAGAATGTTTCCATACCTCTCTAGTCTTCTGTCATGAAAAAGCTGCTTCTATTTCATACAGAGTAATTAAAAATGTTTAAGCCAACCACTCCATAATGTTGTAGCAATTTAGTACCCACACATGAAAGAATAAAACAGAGAAATCAATATAAAACACAAACACAGGTATTGTTTGAGCAGAATTCACATATAGCTGCTCCAATAGACACACACTCCTTATCATTAACAGAAGTTAATTGTTCTTGTAGCTTAAGGGCTTCTGTGAACTTCCTTTCACCTCGAAGTCTGCTTTTACTGGAATGAATGCATTCATTGACAATTCAGACCGACTATTGTCTTGTTAACTGTGTGACTCAATTCTCCAGGCCTGCAGGATGTGCATTATTAACTTAAAAATAATTTAATGGCCTTATATCTGGGGGAAATGTTCCTTGCAGTTCCCTTGTTAATTTGCAAAGACCATTGATGATTAAACAAGAACCTCATGGCCTCTAACTGCAACAAGACTTTCTAAAAAACACTTAACGGGTAATCTTTTCACTCAAAACAGAACTCACAAGTTATACTGCACCTTACCTACTCACAAATAGCCAAAAAACCACCCTTTTGATTATATGTAAAAGTGGAAGAAAAAGACTATTGCGCTAATCTACTTTTAAGAAAAAGGGAACATTGTTTCAGGAATATATAAAAAACCTCTATATTTAAGAGGAAAAATGTACTTTGTTCCTTCAACTATTAACACAGGAATGTATAAAACCACACATATATTAGTGATAACATGATGCAACACACCTCCTATATCAGGTGTCATTAAAATGAATATACCAAAAATACGCTGTATTAACTTTTCTGCATAACTCTTTACTTTAATTCTCCACAAGTGCCGTCGCAATCTTGAGCCATGCATTGTTGGTGTGTTCTTGGCGGGAGGCTAGATCTTCCTTGAATGTTGCCTTAAATCTCACCACATATGCAGGGTCCTCATCAGAGACTGCCATTACACGACGCAAGTGACAGAGGGCAGGTAGTACCACAGAGCAGGAGACGTAGGCCTCCCCACCCAGAATCTCAGGTTAAATACCTGCAGGGACACACACACACACACACACACACACACACACACACACACACACACACACACACACACACACACACACACCACACACACACACACACACACACACACACACACACACACACACACACACACACACACAACACCACACACACACACACACACACACACACACACACACACACACACACACACACACACACACACACACACACACACACACACACACACACACACCACACACACACACACACACACACACACACACACACACACACACACACACACACACACACACACACACACACACACACACACACACACACACACACACACACACACACACACACACACACACACAATAGTAGATTAACATTTAAAATTAATTTAATTTCAGCCTACAATGAATGGTCACATTATATGATGGAATGCTTACCGGCATGGCTCTACAAGGGTCTCCAGTCTCTGGATTTTGTCCCATTCTGGTGGGTGTCATTTATGCTGCTGTTGATCGAGGGTTGCTTTTATTGCAGCTTGGTTGCGGCTCAAGCGCTTGACCATTTCCAACGTGGAATTCCACTGTGTTGGAACGTTTTGGATCAGTGGCTCCTCCTTCTGTCCGAGTGCCTCTTGTTCTACTTGCAGCTCCGCTGTGCTAGCCGTGCTGTGCTTGAAATGGCCCACCATTTTGCGACACTTGGCCAACGCACCGACAAATCCACTGTCAGAGAGACTCAGAGTGATGCTTCTCTGTAAGATGTGAGCAATACAGGGCATGTGATCGTAAGGTAGAATACGAGCCGCAGCAATCATATTGCGCGCACTGTCAGTCCCTATGGTTGTAACTTTCCCTTCAATTTCCCACTTGCGTGCTACAGTTTGGAACTGTTCTGCACACGCTTCCGCAAAGTGACGTTCTTCTGTTTTCATTACAGTTAGCGCAAAGGATTTCAATTCCCATGTCTCAGTGATTTGATGTGCAGTTACTCCCAGGTAATTAGTGTTACTCACTGACGTCCAGTGGTCTCCTGTCAGGGCGACATAATCCACTTGAGCCAAAGCCTCTTTTTTTTCTCCTTTTCAGTGTCATAGAGTTTGTGGATTCTGGTCATTATTGTGCCTCTTGATGGTGGCTTGTAGGATGTGTCGAGGGACGCAACTTTCAAAACATCGGCGAAGCCCTTGTCTTCAACGATGCTAATCGGTTTACAGTCCTTTGCAACCCATTTGGCAATTGTGTTGGTTAATTTATCCGAGGTGGACTTGCTTACTGACCTGCGTTCATTCAGGGTGGTCTGACACAAGCCAGGTGTTGCACTGGAAGTGGAAGCCCCAACAAACGCATGCTTAGCGTTGAGATGGTACTTTAAACTTGAAGAGCTGCGGTGGAACTGAAACTCCTTCTTGCAGTGCGTGCAAATAACTATTTGTTTATGTATTGTTCCATCTTTGTTCTTTCTGAACTCAAATTCCCCATCCAGAGGGCCAACCTGTTGTTCTAGCTCCATGCTGTTTACATGCATCCGCCCCGCTGGAACACTAGAGCGACCTCTAGTGTGTTGGATGTATGGGGCGGGCCATCTGCATGCGTTAAATGCGTTAAATATTTTAACGCAATTAATTCAAAAAATGAATTACCGCCGTTAACGCGATAATTTTGACAGCACTAATTTATATATATATATGTGCATGGGTGTCGCAGCCATTATATGAGGGTGGGACAAGTCCCCCCCACTTTTTGAAATGATTAGTTTAGACCCCCCCCACTTCTACCATGTGGAAAGTCCGTGAATTGGTCTCTCCACTCGCCGCACTTTGTAGAGCGCTGTGTCAGTGCTTCACTATCAAATCCATTCCACTTGCTTATTGAGAGAATGCCCAAATCAATTAAACACCGTACCATGTTTTCACTGCTACTTTGTACCAAGGCAGATTCTCCCATAGCGCACATGTTCAAGGAGTGTTGTCATAGTTGGACAGCTCAGATCTGTTGTATGAAGCGATGCCGGTAGCGGAGGTAAGGCACACACACCAAGTGTTCAGGACATTGTTAATACAGCGAAAATCAAAGCTGACGATCTCTTGGTTTGATATGTTTTCTCCCCCAGACAACATGGATATAAGAACATTTGTTTCAAAGAAGAGGAAAGTAAGTCTTCAGCTGGTAGCAGTTAATCAGTTAACAGTGATGGCGGCGGCAAAAGCGTCTCACTTCTGGAGAGGAGTTTCGTCTTTATGTCATGAAAGAGAGATACAAATACTGAATCGTTTAGATGAGAAAAGGCATCGAAATGCCAGGTTACTAGTATTTATCATGTAAACAGGGAACATTACATTCCATGTCACTTGTTAGACGCTTTTATCCAAAGCGACTTACATACTCAATACTGTGGGCAATCCCAACAGGAGCAATTTGGGGTGAAGTGTCTTGCCCAGGGACACAACGACATGCTGACTGCAGTGGGGTTTGAACCTGTGACCTCCTGATCCGAATACCAACTCACAGCACACTGCACCACAGGCCTCCCTCATGAATAACCGATCTCTCTGTGCTCATGTAAACACCATGATGTACTGTAGAGACGCAGTCAGTGTGTTTTACTGGAGCCTCAGTTCGATAAGAGATTATTTTCTGAGTTCTTTAACTTCAGTACTCTCTCTCAAAATGGTAATGTGCATTATGTTTTAATTATACTTCTTATCATTCAGAAGCTTTTTGTGTGTGTTTATGTTTTACTGAGTGCTTATAGGCCATTTCCATCCCAGTATTCAGTTAACTATTTATTTTCTGTGCACATTACATAGACTAGCTAATATTCAACCTACTGCTTGGGGCTTTGAGTCTTCAAAATGTCCAAGACTTATTTTAGAGTCAGTTGTATTTACATTCAGTATGACTTGTTATGATTCAATGTGAAAGAGTATACTGCTCAGTAAATAATGATCACTTCACCACCTCTCTTGACATCTAGGCGCTTGAGAGTGAGTCAGAGGCAGAACACAGGGACAGTGGAGAGAGGTCCATTGCTGAGGTGAGTGATGAAAGGGAAATGACAGTTTAGAGTAAATTGTGATGTGGACTCTCATCCCAGAATGTTAAGGAAATCAGTGGGGATATTGAACAGGAAGCATTTCAGTCAAGGGGCATCATGTGACCAATATAGACAGAAGAGCAACATTTAAGTCAATGATACCATTCCTAGGTGAACTTAACATCTGTATGGAGTCAGATCAGTCTCAATATTAATAAATGCTCACAGAAGGATTCACAAATGTATTTTGCGATTTATATATAAATGACTCTCCACAACAATATCTCTCAATGCACTCACAAATATTTATTGTTGTATATAAATGTACAAAAAATGGGCATTTAAACTGCTTTTTATTCATTCAAAGACGGTTCTGAATTAATAATCAAATATGTTTCCTTTCTTTACAACTGGATGAAATTACAAAATGTACCCATCATTTTCCTCATGCTAGTATAGCCACAAAGAAGTATCAAACCACCTTAAAATGCACCAGAATACAGGAAATCTATTTTTTTTCGTGGGGGGGATCCCCAAAAATGTTAAAAATGTCCCCCCCACATTCAGGATGCTTCCTACGCCCATGTATGTATGTGTGTGTGTGTGTGTGTGTGTGTGTGTGTGTGTGTGTGTGTGTGTGTGTGTGTGCAACAGAGAGATTTTTAAAACATACTTACACCTAGTTTTATAAATCACAAACATTGTAAAGTAAGTAAAACAGGTTGTATGTGTCTGTTTCATCGGTGTGTGTGTGTGTGTGTGTGTGTGTGCGCAACAGATATTTTGAAAACATACTTACACCTAGTTTTATCACAAACATTGTAAAGTAAGTAAAACAGGTTGTGTGTGTGTGTGTGTGTGTGTGTGTGTGTGTGTGTGTGTGTGTGTGTGTGTGTGTATATATACAATTACATTTTCCCCTTTATTGTATTGCAGTGTTAGTTAGGGTTTAGGGCAGGGGTGCCCAACCAGTCGATCGCGATCGACCGGTCGATCGCGGGGAGATTCCCAGTCGATCGCGAGATTTGTCTAAAAATAGAACAACAATATTCTGTTTTATCATTAATGTCCTATAACATAATCTTCCCGTGCCAGAATAATGCACTTGAACGCACCAAAGCTTTGTGATTGGCCGGCGTGACCCCATGTGTGGGGGCGTGGCTGGTGGGCAGTGGGCATTATTTCGCTGACTTTGTCCATGTCAAAACTAAAAGGAGTGACAGTCCGCACACACACAAGACCGTAATTATGGCAGAAGCAAAAAAGCCCAAAATATATAATTTTCACTCCGAATGGGAGGATGATTATTTTTATATCTATTCCAATTCAAAGTCCATCTGTCTCATCTGCAATGCGAGCGTGGCTTTATCGAAGAAGGGTAATTTAGGAGCGACATTTCAAAACAGTGCACAAACGCTACGAGACGGAATTCCCTCCTAATTCTGCCCTACGCGCCAAAAGGGGAGGGGCCTGAAAGGACAGCTAATGCACACCAGTCCATTTTCACCAGGCCCAACAACAAGAGCAAGGCTGCTACCAGAGCATCTTATCGTGTCAGTCACGTTCTTGCGAAACACATGAAGTCTTTCAAAGACGGCGAAGTTGTGAAAGAAGCATTCCTGGAGGCTGCCGACGTGCTTTTTGGGGACAGTAAAAATAACAGAAGCATTTCAACAGGTTTTTGATATAATAAAAACTCAAGTTGGATACCGTTATTAATCAGCTGTAAGTTTTAGTTTGTTTGAACTTATTCATTATAATTATTGTACAAAATGGTATAAGAATGCAAACTGAATTGATTATATCAATTCAGGTTAAGAAACTAGTGTTGCTTGCATCCTATTTTAAAGGCATTTATTTTTATACTCTACTCAAATTGATTCTATTAATTTTGTCTTTTTTATTGCACTTTGGCAGCAGATTCCTGT